TATTTTAATTTCATTTTTCTAATGTTTGTTATGTATTCTATCATTTGAGGTTATTTTCCTCCCCATACTTGTAACGGTTGTTGGGGGCATACATTGTAAAGTTTTTATCCCAATGTTGACAAGTACAGTTTAATCATTTGTTTCTCTGACACACATAGCCTACTCTAATGAGCAGTAAGCAGATCTAGTTTTTAATTTAAATATGTAAATCCAATTCATATATTTAAAATACAAGTTAACATTTACATTTCAAAGATATACAAATAAGTCATACATACATGCAACATATATTTCAAAATTGATCAAATATGTATAACCTACTGTATATTTATGAGGTGCAAGAAACATTTGCAGGTTTTAATGAATAGGCTACTTTATGATAATACTTTACATTTAAGTACAGCAAAAGATTTATTTTAACTTTGTAATAACAGTGCCATTTTTAATAACTTTTAAAATCACATTTTAATTTAAACGTTGAAATTTTATTTATCTTTATTTTTCACCTGTAAGTGTGATATTGTTCAAGCTATTTATTATGTTTAAAGTGGCTGACTTACACTGGGAGCAGAGCAGCATGTCAGCGTCAAGCAGGAAAGGCGCGTACGTGGGGCGCACGTGTAAGCATGCGGGGGGGCTGGCCCGCGTGGGCCCCATCTGGGCTGCCCTGCTTGGGGCCTACCTGGGCTAGCCCTCTTGGGCGCTTGGGTAGGCCTATGTTGTTTTTTCTGCGCAGATGCTCAGTTTGCTTTTTGATTAAACTACATTGCTCTCACCAGCGTTAGTTCGGTTGCACAAAGAGAATAACAACTTTATTCCGTGATTACCACTCTTAATAAATACACTTGCATATCAAGTAAATTGTACCTCAAATCCTTTACTGGGGCCCTGGCCATGTTTACTGGGTCAAGTGCCCTGAATTCACCAAGATGGGATGGCCAATGTGGGACCCATCTGGGCTGGTCCGCATGGGGCCCACCTGGGCTGGTGGTTTAACGAACGACAACAACATTTTGTAATTTAAAAGAAAATATCATACTTCCATTAAGTTAATCTTTGATGCTTTCTGTGAGTTTTATTTAATTTAGCACTTTTTAATTTTTTTTTTTTAATTTTCTTTTCTTTTCATTTCCATTTTTTTGTTATTGTTTTTAATCACTCTGTAATTGTGTGAATTTTTATTACATTTTTTATACAGATTATTTCCTGACTTATATTGTACATTTCTTAGTTTCTAAATAAATGTTTTAAACAAAAAAATCAATAGACCTACGTATGATATTTTGAACAATTTGGGGTTCACTTTTCTACAGCAGAAGGTAATGGAGAAAGGTTGACTATACACTGCCTGACAAAAGTCTTGTCGCCTATCTAAGTTTTAGGAACAACAAATAATAACTTGACCTCTAGATGATCATTTGGTATCAGAAGTGGCTAATACGCCAAAGGCCTCTAGCTTACACTTATTTGACCAAAATAAAATATGATCATGCCTTGATTTTTAATTATTTAATTAGAACTGTAGGGTCTGACTTCGCTTAAACAAAAGTCTTGTCACTTAACAGAAATAATGTATAGCATATAAAGTCATAGTGTAGTGGAAAAAGATCTTATATTGTGTATGACTCCCATGTGCTTGGAAGACTGAATCCATACATCTCTGCAATGACTCAAATAACTTATTAATAAAGTCATCTAGAATGGCAAAGGAAACGTACTTCCAGGGTTCCCAGAATTCATCAAAATTCGTTGGATTCATCTTCAATGCCTCATTCTTCATCTTTCCCCAGACATGCTCAATAATGTTTATGTATGGTGACTGGGCTGGCCAAACTTGGAGCCCCTTGACCATCTTTGCTTTCAGGATCTTTGATGTGGAAGTATGAAAATGAAAAGTATGAGAAGGAGTGCTGTCCTGCAGAAGAATTTGCCTTCTCCTGTGATTTGTAGTGTAATGGGCAGCACAAATGTCTTGATACCCCAGGCTGTTGATGTTGCCATCCACTCTGCAGATCTAATATTGAATGTAACCCCAAACCATCATTTTTCCTTCACCAAACTTGACTGATTTCTATGAGAATCTTGGGTCCATGCATGTCCAATAGGTCTTCTGCAGTATTTATGATGATTGGGATGCAGTTTAACAGATGATACATCTGAATAATTGACCTTCCACCTACGAAGAAGTAAACAAAGAAGTGAACTTTATAATATTTACTAAGTTATTATTTAGACAACAGACATTTAAGGCTTTTAGTCTCACAATGCAGATTTATTGACTGCAGGAAAAATTAACAAAACATTAACTTCTTCTCAAAATGCAAGGCATATGACATACAATACATTTACAAAATATGTTTGTAAACAATATAGACTTTCAAACAAATGTGAATGACTGTGTCCTATGCACCAATATTCTGCTTTTCTACAGTATACTTTATCATTTAAAAACGAACCTCAACCAATAGACTAAAATATCTCACTATTGAACATAAAAACACTGCTTGGCAATACATTGACTGTTTTAAATGTCTTTCAGTTTGGAATATGTTCAAATGAAATGTTTATTGCCCAAAAGGGGGCAGTAAAGAGCTATAATAATGTGACTGTCATCTGACTGTGCTTTTAAACATGACCCATATTGCTCAACCTAAGGGGGAAGAGAGAGAGAGAGAGAGAGAGAGAGAGAGAGAGAGAGAGAGAGAGAGAGAGAGAGAGAGAGAGAGAGAGAGAGAATCAACAACATCCAACATGTATTTGTTTATCTGAGGATTCTGGGTGTCTGATTATAACTCAGATGAGAGATAAAACCAGAACAGACTAAAGCAAACAAGTATTTATGTTTTATTCTTAATTCTCTTCGTCAAGCATCCAAAATTAGGCTTTCCTATCAAAAGCTTCAAGGGAAATGGGAATGTGAACTAGTGTTGTGAAAGCATTTTTACTCACAATTTCCAGAACGGTCTTGAAATAGACCTTATAACCTTTAGGGAATGTGTATTCAGCTTCAGCTTTATCCAGAAGGATTAAAATGCAGCAAGTGTAAGGAACTCAGAGCTCTTTTTGATTAATCCTTGGCAGTCTGCATGTTTCGGGACTTGATGTCATGAAACTTCACTTCTCTCTGGCTCCAATCTGTCAGGGAGAGATAAACTACAAACAGTGCCAGCGTGGGTGGCTTCAGTGTTTTAGGAGCTGCCACTACCATAATAGATTCAAGTGGGTTGTGTTTAAAAAAAGATAGGAAGAGAGCTAGAGAAGGAGATAGATAAAGATAAATTTACGATTATGACGTTATATTTTCTGCCATTTCAGAATGGTTTCAGTTGATTGAAGTGGCAGTCTTTGCTGATTTGCTCATTTTCTCATATAAATGTACATGTTGAGGAGTAATGACTAATGCTGCGCCTCAAACTGATAGTCACCTTGTGTATCACATGAAAATAAATTATAAGAATTCCACAAATAATATCTACATGTACTTTAGTTAACAATGACTGCCACCTAATAAAAGGGGTTCTAAAGAGCCGTTCACAACAAACTCACATGTTAGTGCACACACAATAATAATAACAACATAATATAAAAAATAACAATTTCAATACTGACAATAGTAATAACATCATCATAGTTGTGTCAACATAGTTGTGTTTTTTAAATAGAGTTAACTTGTTGACAAAGGTTCGGCGGCAGAACCAGGCCTGACTTTGTCTCCTCAACCCAGGGGTGTCCACACTCGGTCCTGGAGGGCCGGTGTCCTGCAAAGTTTAGTTTCAACCCTAATCAGACACACCTGGGCTAGCTAATCAAGCTCTTCCTAGGCGTTCTAGAAACATCTTTGCAGGTGTGTTGAAGCAAGTTGGAGCTAAAATCTGCAGGACACCGGCCCTCCAGGACCGAGTTTTGATACCCCTGCCTTAACCAATCACCTACTCTCTAAAGCCCTTTAGCACTGTTCTTTTTGTTCTTCCGAACCCACCCTCCCTCTTTTTCCTCGCCTCCTATTCATAATCCCACAACACTCTTTTCACTCCTAAATTGAATCGGGGGGTCCAATCACTCGACAAAAATATTACAAAGACGGTATCCCCACTCTGAGTCTCTGGACATCATCTTAGGATGCCGAATCAACCTACAGTACCTACCTGTTCACTGTTTATCTTCTTACTTCCCTTCCCCTTCATCCTACTGTACTCTTACCATCCCCTTTCATCCCTACATCTCGACAATAAAAAGTCTAGCTCAAAGTGTGGCGTGGTGATGCTGGTGAATTGTATGTAGATTGTGTCAAATCAGCTTAAGTTCAAGCAAAATTGAAACAGTGTCAGTCCAGTTTTCACAGTTGAGGTTCGGTTCAGTTCAGTGTGGTTTAATTTTCACTGCTGAAAGTCCAAACGCTGAAAAGCAAATCCATCAAAGCACAAGTCCCAATCCAAGTAAGCCAGTGGCGACAATGGTGAGGAACAAACTTTACCAACTGACGAAAGTGAAGGAAAAAAAAAGAAACCAGGCTCAGTTGGGGACGACCATTTCTCCTCTGGCCAAACTTCTTGTGCAGAGCAGCAGTATTAGGATAGGCTGAAGAGAAGACTAGTTTTATAAGTTAGGGTTTGGGTGAACTATTCCTTAAAGTCAGTTACTGGGCCCATCAAGGTCAAATTAGTAGGCCTATAGGCTAATTCAAAATTAATTAACATTAACTGGATAACAATTAATTAACTCCAATACTTATTCTATGATAAAATAAAGACCTACATTTTTGATTTGGCTAAGCAGATGTCTTTGCTTCTTTATCAACCGATAGCCTATATAAATCACAGTGCTATGTCTGCTTTCATTACCTTTAAACCTAAATATCTTTAAATATTTTTAAAACTTAATATTAGGACTTCACATTTAAGTGAAAGCGACGCGGTGTTCAACCCTCGCTTGAAGTACGCGGGTCACGAGAGGCGTTGCTTTGCAATATGTTTTTAAAGAAGAGATTTCCGCTTCCTGCTGTTGTTTTAAACGCTCATTTGATCTCTAGCGGTTCACAAGCCCGAAGCTGAAGCGAGTGAAGTGAGTGAAGTCTCCAATGAATCCACTGCCGAGCGGAGGCGGGAGCGTTAAGAGCCTCGTGCCATGAAAGTGTCATCATTTGTACGGACTGCACGCACGAGCGAGCGGATAAACCGACCGACACCGGCGGCAGCGCGAATACCCAGACTTCAGCATGTCGGAGCGCGGAGGACTTCAGCAGCAGCAGAGACCGGGAGTTCCGTCTCCCCACCTGCAGCCTCTCAGGACGGTCACGATTTCTGCCAGTCGCCCGGTTCAGATGAACCTGTTTGCGACATGGGAGATTGACAGCTCCTCTCCCAGCTGTGTGCCCAGGTATGCCGCTGTTTACTGGTACACATGCGCTTATTTGTACATCCGCCAACTGAGCTACTTTTTAGCTGAGTAAATAGTTAATTCAGATCACGCTGCTCTGGAGATCACATGAAACGGTGGTTTCTTACTTTAGACCGTGGGTTTTCAGCCTTTACACACAAAGAGAGAGAGAGAGAGAGAGAGAGAGAGAGAGAGAGAGAGAGAGAGAGAGAGAGAGAGAGACTTAAAAGCCTTTTGAACATATGTCTGCTTGTACTTGTACCTGTGTTTAAATTAACATTTCTGATTAATAATTCAACAGTGTCAAGTTCACTTGTTACTGTTCTCTAGATAAGTTAGTTGTGTTTAAATAAGTATAAGTAGATTAGGTTTAGTCAGTGCTTCTTCAATATAGATTAGTAAAATATCCTTTTATTTGAATCACACTTCAGCAATACTCAAATCAACCTCTTTTAATTTTTTTTGACTTACCATTATTATTTTAGTAATTTAGGTTTGGGACCTAACTGTAAAAAATCCTAGTTGCCCTAAATTTTTAGCGGAATCAAATTAACCTTATGAGTTCATTGAACTTGTATTAATACAGCTTGTGTAACAGAGTAAATTAAGTTAGAACTTGCTTAACTTAGTTGAATAAGTTACACTGACCTAAAAACATATGCTGTCAGGACTACTTGATCATATTTTTGTGTGTGTGTATGCAAATAAACCTAAAATAGATTGCTAACTTTAAAATTGGTCATCATTTAGTCTCTGGAGTTTTTTTCAAATTTGAATTTCTCACATTATTGAACAAAAAGTTATTATGAAGAATGCTAGTAAGCAAGCTGCTGATGCACTGAGTTTCATATGTATGTAAACAACTGTATGTATCTGCCTGTGTGCGGTGTGTGTTTTTTCATGACATATCAAACAGTTTGAAGTAGTGTTGTGTAATTATTTAGATGTCCTGATTACTTTGGCAAGCACTCAATTTGATTTAAGATCCTCATTTAGTTTTCAAAATTGAATTTGATTCAATGAATATAAATTAGAACGATCATCCAATGATGAATATTAGAAGCAAATTAAATAATTTTAAGGTACACAAATGAAAAACCAATAGATGACTGAATATGGAGTATACAGAATGTGGAAAAGGATTGATTTGTTACTTAAGAATGAATAATGAACCAACTACAATAAAAAAATAATAAATTACTTCCCCCCACCACCCTGCCCTAGTTTGCAAAAACTTATGGACATTATTGTGTGTGTACTGTGTACAGTATTATTGTTATGCATGTAACAATAAGCTGATAACTGACTGCTAATCTTTTTGCATCATGTTCTTCCTGCTATATAAAAAGAACAAGCGGAAAGCCAGAAGTCCACTAAAAACCACATGTTCTCTATGGAGTCATCATTACATTTGTAGAGTGGGATTGTCATCCTAACTCGTTGCTGCAGTACAGATAAACCAAAAGAGCTCATTTAAAAAAAATATGCATATTCCCTATGAAATGCATTCAGTATATAAAGGTATATGCAGTTTAATATTCCCCAGTGTTCAATCTCATTACTTGCATGAAGAGATTGGGATATGGAAATGTAGAGGAGGGGCTTTGGGATATTTCACGCAGAGAGTGGAAGAGTAAGGCACCATGATCTAAAGAGGCAGACTGTAAAATTGGCCAACAGAAAAGCAGAATCCATGACAGATGTGGAGAATAAAGAGCATTATTCAGCTAACACTGTCTATTACTGTGACAGTGACTCCATGATACTTTCAAAGGCCTTTTGAAATTGAGGATAGCTTTTTATTTGTTCTTTCCATTCAAACCCATCAGTAAGATAAGATTATTTTTGTATGTAAACCCTCAGTGGATGTTCTAATATATTGCTCCACCAGAATCTTGTATAAGATCACTGAAAGGTGAGATGTGTGTCCGGTTTGCCCCTCCCAATTTCATTACGTATGTGTTCTCGAGTTGCACTCTAATGCACAGGGACAGACTTGTAAGTGAATTAGACCCAGGCCAGTTCAATATAGCTCACTCTAAAGAGAGGACTGGCTTCATACTGCTATTATGTATTAATGCCTTATCTTGTTGATCTAAGCATAAGCACATGAGATGTTGCGTTTGGGTAATGCAAGGCCACTGCTAAAGCGATAAAAAGAGATCAAACCTCATCGTGAGTCAAAATATCTAAGCAAATTCAGAAAGTCAAAGAGCTTATGTAAAAATAAAATATTGAAATAATAAAATATGGGTGAAACCTTCCAAACTCTTCATTGTGTATGTGTGATAACCATAATGCAAGGCTCAGCTAAAAACCCATGTATTCTTTGATCACCTAAATGCCAGTTAACAAAAACCCGGACCCCCTCTTCCCCCCCACCACACCACATGACAGCCTCAAAACATTATGCAATTCTGAGTGTGCCTCTCACAGGTGAGTGGGCTTGACAAACCACCTGTAGAAAACACTTTTTTTATCGCTTTGAAACTTTAACCGACACTTCCACCAGTTTTGCACATTTGCTTCAGACATTTTCTTACAATCACTCCATATATCTAAACATAAAAAAACGAAAGAAACAAAAGATGAGTGGCCTTGACAAAAACCACCTGTAGAAACACTTTTCACGCAACAGAAACTCGTCTTTACTCCAGCACTTAATTCACTGAGCACTAATAGTTGCATTGTATAACTAGCACTTCTTGTGTGTTGCATCTACTGTAGTTGAATTGCTGAATGCCTCTTCAATTGTAAGTCGCTTTGGACAAAATCATCTGCTAAATGTAATGTAAAAGGAATAATTCAAACTTTAAAGTCTGTGTGAACCGGAAGTTGCTGAGACTTTTAGTATTTTGATGTACTTCCAACTAAAATGGAATTTTGAGTAGGGGCGGGGCTTTCTTTTTTGCGCATCATTCCAACATAGTAAACTTACTTTAGAGGGACGTGGTTACGAATATTGTGGTTGAAGTCAAACTGATGTCAACAAAGAAGAAATGGCACACCAAATGCCAAAGCAAATGGTCAGACTTTGATTGAAGTTTAACGAAACCAACATCTTTTTTTCCAGTGGATAAACTAGCACTGATTAATTGTTCACCTAAAGATTATCTATGTGCACTAACAATTTCTGAATAAAAATATAAAACAAAGATTTTATATAAAATGTGATGTATATTCAAAACATATTTTGTTACCTTTATGTTTTTCTTAAGTATTGAAATAAACAGTTGGATTTTGTGTAGTTTATGCAGTTAAAGGTCATTTAGCGACCATTTTTAAAATTATAAAAATATCGTGAGTGATTTGTTATAAATAAAATCTTCAAAACAAAAATCACCCTGCAGTTCATGTGATTGCAGCAAAGTGACTTATTGCTCCTAAATATTTGATAATTTCATGGAAATGCCAGGATAACACTGGTATAGATGCTTTTATCAAAGTTCTAAAAGTTTTTTTAAAAATTGTAAGCAAATCATTATGAACAATTTTCTTTTTCATTTCATTGTGAATATATTTTTTTTTACTGATGACCATTAGATTACCAGCAATATTAACGGAAGTAGTAGTTTTAAAAAATAGATGCTATATGATATTTATCATTTAGTTACTGTACTTGAATGCTGTTAGACTTTATTTTTGTTGTATCTTTTTTTCTTAAGTGTATTTATAGATTGTTATGCATGAAAACTCAACACATGCAAAAACAGAAATACACTGCAAATAGTAAAGATCCCAAAGTAAATGTGTTGAGTGACTCCAAAAAGTTTAAAGATTGTCATTAGATTTTTTGGAGATGCAAATAGTAAACATTTATCCATCAATTTCTGACTAAACAAATGCATGAAAATACTCACAACACATGCAAATACAGAAATGCACATAGCACAGACCACAACGAAATGTGTCGGCAAAATTTAAAGATTGCTTACTAGGTTTTATGGAGATGCACTCCTACTGCAGAACCATCCCAATTGATCTAACATTATTAATTCTCATCTAGTTAAATTGTTTTTATATCGCAATATATATCACAAAATAAAAGAATATTGCAATGCTAGATTCTTCCAATATCTTGCCGCCCTATTGGGGTTTATGCAGTCAAACCTATGTCAATAGAGAAGAAACACAACGCCAAATGCCAAAGCAAATGATCAGACTTTGATTGAAGATTAACAAAACAAACATCTTCTTTTTCAGTAGATTAACTAGCACAGATTAATTGCTCACCTAAAGATTATCAATGTGCACTAGCAACATAAACATTGTTAAATTTTGACTTTGCAAGGACTTTGAAATGACTTTTTAAAATGTCTGAATAAAAATAAAACAAAAGATTTTATTGAGAGATTAAACGGTTGGATTTTGTGTAGCTTATGCAGTTAAAGGTCATTTAGTTGTCAAGAAGTCTTCTAAAAATCTTATTAAGACTGAATATTTGACAATTTCATCTTTTCATGGTGTGGCATTCAGTTTTCAGGGAAAATCCAGATGACAATAATATTGTTAGATTTTTTAAATTAAAGTTATACAAGTTTTTAAAAGATATATGTGAATAATTTTACTGATCAAGGGTCATATTTTTTTACTGATCACTATTAAATTGCCTGGAATTTTAACTAAAGTAGTAGTTCAATAATAAACAAAATAGATGCCATATGACTTTATTTGTCATATATTGAATAACTTTAGCTCTGAAAAATATTTAATAATGTTTTTAAGTTTAAATTTACTTGATGGAACCACAAACAGAGAGTTTTTTAGTTTAGTTAGCACTAAATAATAAATGCAGACCCAAATTTCTTACAGCAAGTGTTATTTATGAACATTTTACCCTGTTCTCCTGTCATTCTGTCACAGAACCTGAATGAACTGTGTCCCTGAGTGCTGTCATGTTGAGATTTATTCCCAGAATCTAATATCACCAATGCAGTGTTCTTGACTTCATGCCAAAACATCTCAGAATACCTTGAGAAGATGTATCAGAGGACAAGCTTGACTTTGAGACGTAGTTTTTTGTATGTTTTTAAGTACAGTTCACTTTAGGTGTCTTGTCTCATGTGGAGTAGAAAATTAAACTTGAGATTGTTTTCATTGCATTATTCATTGGTTGCTAGTTAAACATTGAAGCTCCAGTGTTTTTGTTTCATTATTTCAGGCATTTTATTCACTGATCATTGTATGCAGATGAAGTGCAGCTATTGTCTTATCATTTGCTGACCTTTGTGTTGGTCCAAAATACACTGTATGCTGGTTTTGTTTGTCTGTGTATATAAAAATATTTTAAGGAATGCGTTTGTTTCCATGTGGTGATTATTTCGAATTACATCAAGCTCCAAAAAAAAAAAAAGAAAAGACACAAAAGGGAATTTATTATGTTAGACAAACCAAGGCACTAAGGATTCTGTGGAGACAACTTATTTCATCATGCTCTACATAACTTTGACAGGAACTTAAAAGGATGTGGATGGGAACTTTGGCTTTGATCATTATCTGTGCATTTTGGTAAATGCAACTTGGTATAAATTTAGGCTGGATATCAACTCAGATGTACTGATTCAGTTCGATGCTGATTAACAAGCTCTAATTTAGATTTAATTCTCGATTTGTTTCATTCTCAATTTTGATTCCATTCAGTGGATATACAATTCATATGAATCGGATGCATGTATGATGCGATGAACATTTGTTTGTGTTTGTAGACATTCACAGATTCTAAATAGATTCAAATGTACATGTATTAATATAGTGATCAAAGATATTCATGATGCACAAAATTAATATTTTTTAGAACCAAAAATTCTGGATGTGCTAAAACCGAAAATGCATTGTAATAATTATTAATTATTTTATTAAATAAATTAATTTTGCATGATTTTTAAAAATGTTTTTTACTCAATGTAAATATACATATTTTTAAAATCACCAGCAAGTAAAATAGTCTTTTATTGACCGTTAATTATATTGACCATGAACAAGTCAAGAGGCTTCAATTTGCCAGTCTTGTCATGACAACACAGTAGCACCATTGCAAGCAGCAAGAATCATGCTTTTTTTAAAAATTAAGCAAACTTTTTAAGTGAGCATGTGTGGTTCATGAATAAAGATAAACGTGCTGAATATTGACAGAGTGGAATATTTAGCTATTTTGAACTCTTGACTGCGGAGTGCATGTAATTTAGTATTATAATGGTATGAAAACTTCATATCATGATTATAGTGATTAAATTATTAAGGCAACCAATATTAGCTTGGTTTAAAATGTAATAAATAAATAAATAAATAACTGATACACAGATTTCACCAAATTTAATCAGACCAAAAGTGGTTCACTGACATCCAAAAGTGATCCACAGACATCTGAAGTGCATCCACGGATGTAAGAAAGACATCCAAAATACCTTCACTGATGTGGATGTCTGAATTGCATCTGAAAATGGTCTGTACACTGTACACTGATGTCCAAGAGAAAGACATCCACAGACGTCCAAAAGCGTTTCACTGATGTAAAAAAAGACATCCAAAATACCTTCACTGAAATGCATCTGAAAATGGTCCACTGACGTCCAAGAGACATCAGTGAGACACGAAAGAGGTCTACTGACATCCAAATTGGCCCACTAATGTTTGAAAAAGCATCCAAAAGACGTGAATGTCTAATGAGGTTCAAAATATGTCCAAAATATGAAACAAAAGTTGTCCACTGATGTCTGAAATAATGAAAAAAAGGATCTGAATATTGAAACGCATCCGAAAGACTTCCACTGATGTCCAAATGTGGCCCACTGACATCTGAAACATGTCCGAAACTCTGGAGTCAATATAGGGCCATATAAACTTGCAAAATAAAAGAAAGTTTTTGCAAACAAAAAATAAAGTATTGAGCAAAAAAAATAAATAAAAAAATAAAATAAATCCAAAAATTATAAAGCGAAAATTTATTTTTGAGAAATAAAAATAAATTTTGCTACAAAAATAAAGAACTTGAAAGGGAAACTTTAAGTTTTGAGAAAGAAAAATAAAGTTTGAAAAAAAAAAACAAGAATTGCAAATAAAAATGAAGCAGTTAAAAAAAAAAACAAAAAAAAAAAACGATATATATTTGCTAAACATTTTATATAGCATTGCCTTTACAAAACCTGTCCAGTCAAAGCTAATTTTGATTTGTTTTTTGTGATTTTTATAGTTTTTAAAGCTTTTTAGTGTTTCACTTTGCACTTCACGAATCTGGCATGTTTCACTTTGTGGCCCTGATGTGATAGTCAAGGGTACTTGGGTGTTTATGGCAGGCCCGGACCCACTGGGCTGGAAGACCACCTCAATGATACTGTGTCTCCAGTTGATGACGTCGCTTAAATTTTCAGACCTGTAAATGCCCAAGTTCACTTGACTTGCCCCCTTGTTAAATCAGGGCCACAAAGTAAAACGCAAATAATTAATTTGCTAATTAAAAAAAAAATACAGCTTTGTTTTTGTTTGCAAATGTCATCTTTATATCTTAAAGTGTGATTTTTTTTTTTTTTTTTTGTAGATTTGCATTCATTATTTATTTTTTGCTCAATACCTATTTTTGTTTGCAAAACATTTTTATTATTTTGCAAGAATATATGGCCCTTGATTGACTCCATACAAAAGCAGTTCACTGATGTACGAATTAAGCCAAAATACATCTGTTTTTATGTCTGACATACATTCGGAAGACATCCACTTATGTCTGAAAGATGTCCACTGGATTCTGAGAGACATCCAAGAGGTATCCACTTAAAGCTGAAATGCATCTGAAAGCGGTCAACTGATACGTCTGAAATATGGTCACTGATGTCAGAAATAGGGTCAAAAGTCTTAATATTTACTAACACTTAGTTTTTTTTAATGTTTGACCAGGAAAGCTGTTACTCGCTATTCGTTTATTTCTTTTTTACTCATTTACACATTTTCTTGAGGATGAAAAAGAGCAGAGATTGTGGTCAGGGCAGAAAACTTAGCCCTAGCCCTACAAAAACACATCTTGAAAGCCCCTGGAAGATTTGGATTTGGTCTCTCTAAACCTCTTCTAGCTGAGCGTCTACTCTGCTCTGGTTGGTCAGGTGGCCCAGTACGATTTGTACATTCCTACGTAGGTTTGTACATGAAGACTGGAATAACCAGCAACTTATTTTTTGAGGTTCAAAATCAGTTCTTTGTTTTGTGAGACCCTAAATCTATTGCACTATGATCTCTAAACCCTTGTAGACTCTTAATATAAAAAAAAACACTCATTTGGAATGAGTTTGGAACAACACAAGAGTGCGAAACTATCGCTATAAATATCTACAGCCCTCATATCTGAGGACCAATTTTTGATTGGTAATTGTGACTGACGCTGAAATATATTAAAAAACTACATAACTCTTCTCACTCTCAGTACAAAAGGTTGCAATTGTTGTCTGGAGTTTTGGGTAAAATGTCAGCCAAAGTAGCATCTGGGATTTAAGGCCGAAATGTCAACTCCATACGGGAAACTTGATAAGCCAGCTTGTGGACTGATTATTCATTCAGCTGCCATAGTGACTTGTCCTCAACACAACTTTCTTTTTGTTTTGTTTTTTCTCTTGCAGACTTCTCAGTCTAACCCTTAAAAAACTAGTGATTCTGAAGGAGCTGGACAGAGATCTCACATCTGTTGTCATTGCAGTTAAACTTCAGGTACAATTTGTTTACACCCCTTTAAAATGAAAATCTGCAGTGAATTACAAATGGACTGCATAATCTATGTTTGGATGACTAATGATTGTAAATGTCTCTTCAGGGTTCAAAACGCATTTTGCGGTCGAATGAAATCATGCTGTCCTCTGCTGGCCTTACAGAGACCGATCTTCAGCTGACATTCTCTCTTCAGGTTAGCTGTGTTTCAGTGCACTGTGAATGAGATGAGCACTAAATTTGCATTTGCAGATTTAATGTTATGGCTTTATTTTGATGAAACCTTTGGGAAATCCTCAAGTGAAACCTATCTGTTTTAATGAATTAGATCCAATTAATGTTACATTCTGATGTACCTTTTTCACTTCCCCTATTATCTTTAGTATCCACACTTTTTGAAGAGAGATGCCAACAAGCTTCAAATTATGCTCCAGAGACGCAAGAGATACAAGAATCGCACTATTTTGGGATATAAGACCCTCGCACTAGGAATGATAAATATGGCTGAGGTGAGCAAAACCCTACAAATCCAGCTCCACCACATTTTTGTGCAAGTAATGTTGAGAAACTCCACAATTGACAGGTTTTAAAAATGTTACGAAAATGTCATTATACATAAAAAGCTGTTCTAGGAGGAGGAAGTCAGTTTTATGTCCCTTTAATGGAGCTGACTGAAACATTTCACAAATGCATCAAAATCCTCTCCGGTCATTTGCAATGTGTAATTTAATGCCCAAATAAATGCCAAGGCATTTGCATTTCTGCTGTGATTCAGTACATAACTAACTGTTGAAAGAACATCCACGTCATATCTCTTTAATAATGATTTCAAAACCAGGAGGAAGACCATTCTCTATATTAACCAAGAATAAAAAATGTAATTGCATACATGTCGTCACCTTGAATTATATGGTTCTATCTGCATTTTGAATGATTCTGAGATATTGAGCTTTAAAGTTTTTGCATTCCATATAGCAAACAGTACGTGTGTAATACTTGTTTTTTAAATATAAATTCTTAAAATGTAAACAACTTATAAAAAACATCCCATATTGTAAATTAGTTGTAATTTAATAAGAATATGTCAATAACTCAATTTTGACAAAAATGTCAGTTAGAACCTTATAATTATAAGGTGACAATATTTGTTGTCAGGACATAAAGTGGGTTATTTTAGGATCTTTAAGCAGGTCAGACAAAATAATTAAGTGACATTGGATGGTCATTTTACACTAGTTGATATGATTCTTTACAGTGTTAAAGAACAGTCTATAACTTACTTTGGTTTAATTTTTCAATTGCAGCATAAATACCTCCACAGTAAGCTGTTTTGCTTCATATCTCTTTAAATAATAATGAGCTGCTTCTTCCCTGCCCCTCTTTGAGTTAAGATCAGTATTTGCTGAACCAATCTATTGTTGAAGAGGAAAATCTGGCCAGCGTACTCACAGTGCTAAACCAAACCTTCAGCTTCTAATAACTTGTCTGTAGAACTGACATTGAATATTTGAAGCGGCTATGATGACAAAATGTGAGATTGCACCCGGCCGTATCCTGGGGATATAATCATTGCATTTAATTTATCATTGACATTGCAGCCCACCATTATCAATGAAAACTGTATTCAAACCAACATCTATACTTATGAAATGTGTAAACACTGGTGTATTCAACATGCTCAGCTTCAGTTCTGTTGGGGTGTAAGTGCACAAAGCTTTGCACATGAGGATGATGATCTGATTATAAACATGAGTGAACTAATTCCGGCCAAACAAACAAACAAGCATAAATTACATATAAAAAAATTACTAACATTTTTCAGATAAATTGTAGGTACATGTACGTCATTTTAATGCAATTTTGATGCGAGTCCAGCTTTGTATTGTGTATTCTCTAAGTAATCCAGTAAAAAATGTTTTACAAACACAAGCAAGTTTTTGCAGACTATTCCTGGGATATTTCCTTTATAAATAAAACTTATCCATTTAGCTGTTGTTTCTTCTGAAGCTGGGATTCTTTGTAATAACACCTATGAGCCTCTATATCTGAACACATTGCAGATGGCCATGAAAGGCGCCACTTGACAATTAGTTTAAAATAAGGGAGGAAGGTGGAGTCAATGTTTGCTTAGAGGCGGGCACATTTGAAGAAGTAGCTGGTTGCTTATGGACCAGTACGAAATTCAAAAAGGTTAATTATGACACAAAAATACACTCACAGCTGCATGTTTTTTTTTTGTTTTTTTTGAGCTGGTAGACAAACAAATATAACTATGTATCTACATAAAATGTATACATCTACATACATTTCTTTATCAATGTATCTAAAAGTATGAATTCTTTCCAAATAGATGTTGAAATTATACACAATATTGCAACGTATATCGTAGAAAATTAAGAATCGCAATGTTAGTTTTTTTTTCTCTATGGTGCAGTCTTAATTCAGTGTGTGTTTATTTGTAGTATTTAATTTTTGAATCTTGTTCATGGTTTATTTTCTGGCCTGTAGGTGATGCAGCACCCCACTGAAGGAGCTCAGGTTTTGGGTTTGCACACGACAGTGAAGGACAAGCCAGTTATTGTTGCTGAGATCCGGGTCTATTCTCTTTCCAGTCAACCCATCGACCCAGAGGGACTGAAGACCAAGCTATCTGGTCTGAATCACACATTAATACATATATTTATACAATAGTTGTGTCTGGTTCTCGAATCTGATTGGCTAATAACTCTGCGATATTCTGGAATAACAGCAGTCGTACAGCCTCCTCACTCTTGTATAAATGCAAGATCACCTCGCAGCAGTGCGATAAGGCTGTATATTGTCACTGGTGGGACACTAAGGCACTCAGCCTTTGGCCTTGTGCCAATGCATGCCTCCCACCAGTGCCGATATACAGCCATATTGCAATGCTACTCGTGTGATATTGCTCATATAGTTCTGTATTTAAGGCGAGACACTGCAAGCAAAAACATTTATTTTCATGCATCATTTTGCTATTTTATAAAGTATTTTTTGTCTTATTCAAAGAAAACATTCAAAATACTCTTTTAAATTTTATTTTTATAGCCCTTTATTTATTAATTTTACTCTTATTGTTTGTACATTTAAATTTAAATGCATAATTGTAATGTTTAAAAAGAGTAAAATATGCCCTCTTGAACATAAAATGTATTTTTTTTTTTAAATTAAACAATTAAAAAATACATACTGTATCATTTTCAAATTGACTACATCTAATGTTCCGATTGGTATGCAAGAAATGTATGTGAATAAGTGCATACTTCATCAAAGTCTTCTTCAATTTTCTGACATAGCATTTTAGAGTCTTAAGGAACAATTGTCAAGAAAAGAGGAAAAAGTGGTCAAGGCTGCTTCTCTTTCTCTTTTTTTTACATTTTGAGAACACTTTCTGTTAACCAGGCCTGCTCTAGTTTAATCCCTTGCAATGTTCCTGTTTTCTTCCCTTTAGATCGTTCACCAGACATCGACAATTACTCGGAGGAGGAAGAGGAAAGCTATTCGTCGGAGCAGGACGGCAGTGATGACCCTCTACAGGGGCAGGTAAAGGCCTGTGAGACTCCAGTGATTGATTTTGACATTCAGCCATCTTGCCTATTTCCTGCTCAGTGAATTATAGCAGCGGAGAGAGACTGATGGGAATCTGCTGAAGTCAGATCACTGAAGAAACACACAGCATAAGTGCTGTCAAACGCCATGAAAAGAGCCTTTAGCCAGAGGGAGGAAACATATTTAATGAAGTACAGGGGAAAAATAGATGGCTTTTAAGGTTTCCTACTAATTACAGGAATTGTTTCATTTGGGATTTTTAAAAAATTTTATTTTGGTTTTATCTGTACCATTGTCACCTACTGTAAATGTCCCACCGTGACTATAAAGTTTACTGGGCACACTGCAAAAAATGCTTTTCTTACTTGAATTTTTTTGTCTTGTTTCTAGTCCAAATATCTAAAAGTTCTTAAATCAAGAAGCATTTTCTAGACAAGCAAAACATATTGTCTTGTTATAAGAAATATAATGCCAAAATGAAGTGAGCTTTTCCTTAAAAAAAGCTAAATAATCTGCCAATGGGGTAAGCAAAATAATCTTATCACAAATCGAAAAACACGATTATTTTGCTTACCTTTTTTCTTCTTAAAACAAGACAATATGTTTTGCTTGTCTAGAAAATTCTTCTTGATTTTAGAATTTGTAGATATTTGGACTAGAAACAAGACAAGAATCTAAGTAAGAAAAGCATTTTTTGCAGTGCACAACTTAATTTAGGCTTGGTTTCATTGAGGCATTTAATATGATGTTAATACATTTATTTGACTTTAATAAATTTAATGTAAGTGTTTATGTTCTTCATGATTTATTGAATAATTAAGGTTATGAATTATTGTTTATTTATTAATAACTAATAAATGTAAATAAGTTAATAAATAAAAAAGAATATTATTATTATTAATAATAATAAATAAAAAAATATTATATTATTTTATTAAATAAAAAAATATTTGTTTAATTTATTATTTTATACATTATGTATTTAAATAACTTTAATTAATAAAAATTAAATAAACATAACAGAAAATTTGTATTAATAATCCTATTCATTTATTTTGTTTTCTTATTATTTAATTCTGTATTATTAACGCTGTTCAAGTAAAACTATTTAAATCATTCATAATTTTTTTCATTTTTAATTTAGGTTTTTATTTAAGCATTCAATTTGATGTTTATAAATTTATTGGATTGCAAGAAATTAAATGTATATTTGTTATTCATCAATTATTTGATAATTTAATTGTTATGTTTGTGTATTATTGTTTTTTTATTTATTACTAATAAATGCAAATAAGTTTTTAATAAATGAAAGAATATATATTAATAATAATAAAATTACTTTCACAATAATTATAAATATTCTGATATTATTTTTAAATTAATAAATACATTTATTTGTAATTTTATAATTTTTTTATGTATTTATATAAATTTAATTATTAATAAATTAAAGGGGTGGTCCACTACGATATCATATTTTAAACTTTTGTTAATGTTAGGTTTAGGCGGTAATATGGTATACCGCGGGTTCAAAAAATAGCAAAGGTATCAGTTTCAATACTGTTATACCATCATAAAAACAATGCACTAATATAGAAGACAAGTATTAAATATTAAATATTTATTTAATGCCTAAAAATGCATAAATGATTGTCATCACGGACAGTGTGGAAGAGAGAGAGAGAGATGAGGTAACATGGCGAGTCACGCTCCAAGTGACCTGGTCTCGAAAAAGAACACAACCTCTGCAGTTTGGCAGTATTTCGGGTTTCAACCGAACGAAAATGGAGACGTGGTAAATACGAACAAGAGGTCTGCATTACCACTTCTATACCGCGTGAGTCGACCAGATTTCTTGTGGTGTGGAATAAATTTCTGAATAAAGCGCTGGAGAGGTCGGTAACTCTGGTGTAATTTGAACGGGAGCGGTCGGTCTAACAATATCGCTCTCGAGCTTGTGTGTGTGTGTGTGTATGTGTGTATATGAGTACGAGTATGTGAATGAGAGAGAGCGTGATGCTGTGTCGCTTGTTTGGTGCTGTCTATGTGTGTGTGTGAATGAGAGAGCACATGGTGCTGTATGTCTGTGTGTGTGTTTATACAGACAGCTTGTTATAGGCTGTCTGGACTCTGTATCATCTAGCTGGGTGGTTTTTGGTTTTGCTCTTCTGTTCGCGAACATGTGGTCAAATAGCTGCTATTACCACAGAGCTTGTTCTGTTTTTGTATTTGGGCTTCCAAATGAAACTACACAAAGAGAGAAGTGCTTACAGTTTATTTTAATTGTGTTCCAGAGAATTATGAAAATATAGTTAGCATTTGACAAAGGATAACTTCCAGAATCTCTCTTGGTTCAGTGCTGGGTTCAGCTAAAAACTCCTTAAAGGAGCAGCTCCAACAAGCAGAAGCTGTGGATTGTGAGCTCAGATTTTGTTTTGGAGAGCTGGTGTGAAGTTCAGCTGTGTCCTCTTCGTTTTCTGTTTGACTCAGGCTCAAACTGATATGGCTAACAGCTACTCTGACAGTGTTTACACAGTGTAAAATCGCATGCTTGTTGGGGGCGAGGCGCTTTTCATGGTGACATGGAATCGGTCCTTGAATCACAGCACATTATAGCCCTTTTCGCGCAGTGATACTGGTAAATATCCGGAAAATTTCTGGAACGACTTTACCGGTATGTTCAAAAAATCACTGTTCACTCAGACGAGTACGTTATGGAATTTTTACGGAAAAGAGCATTCACACATCCATTCCAAAATACCGATAAATTCTGTCATCATTACCCAAAAATTTGCTCTAAACGGCTGCCCTTGTATTAGTAAACATTTGACTACATTCCATCTCAGTGGATAGATAAGTATTGTGAACAACTTCGATGAAAACATATGGAGGAACACTTTCTCATGTTGAGATGTACATAATGTGGGTGTGTGTGCTGGCGCTCACCGGCTCCTTAATGGGCACACGCGACGCGTCAATCAACTGAAGGAAGCAGAGCTTGAAGGTAAACAAACAACGGCTTATCATAAGCATCTTATTGATAATTATTTACTCAGTTGGCATTAAGAAGGAACATATAAACATTATCTGACTAACATCCAGAAGCTAAATGTGTCTGGAAAAATATTCATATTCATAAACAGTGCAGACTTGAATCGTCTGACTGTTCTTATTGGCTAAAGTAGACGTCTCACGTCAGCACGTTCTAGACATGCACGCAGTCTTTCTGGCAATCTTCCTTCTGCGTTCACACAGCACAGCTTTCTGGCAAATTACCGGTAATGTTACAACGTCTCTTTCCGAAAAATAGCCGGAACGAATTTACCAGTATTTTCAAAAATATGGTTATTTTTCGGAAAGGTCTGAATGTGTGAAAGGGGCTTATGTTAGCTGACCAATCAGAGCCTCTTAAGGGCATTTTTTAGAGGAACTAGGAAATATGGCTTTCATGGTTGGTTTTCATGTTAGCTGAGTAGGTCATAGGTCAAGGTAAGATTTATGAAAACGTATTGTGATTTTGTACAAATGAAGCATGAGCACACATTGCTTTGCATCTTATGAACACAAACAAGCCTTAAAATTACACTCTGGACCACCTCTTTAAGATAATGAAATCTTTTCTTAATTATGTTATTTCTGACATATTTCTTCCTCCTATTTTATATATTTACTTATTTATGTATCTCTTAATTTTTATTTTGTTGTTTTTGTTTTTTATTTTCTGTCTAGATTCGCTTCCCCCAAAAATCAACCCACTAATTCTAAAAGTCATGCTTTTACTAGTTGAGCTATTTAAGTCATCTGGTAAAAAATCCTTAATTTTTCCATACTACAATAAATGTTTTAAATCCTTTATGTTCACATTTGTCCAGTACCTTTATGATGACGAGGATGAACTGAGGAAGAAGAAGCCTCGTCGTAAACTGCCCTCCACCGCCTCCATCACTAGAGCAAACGTAAGTGGTCAGTCCTGCGAGCTCGGAGAATTAGAGCAGTTTCTCTGCATGTTGATGTTGACTCAGATATTGTCAGGAAGCTGAACAACTGCACATTTCTCCCTACGGCTGCTGATGTTCTTTAGACGCAGCAGCGGTCGCATCTTAAATACTGTTTCCGGGTCCAGGCCTCTAGTCAGTTGAATTGAGAGAACTCAATAGCCATTTATGAACTCTGCTTAGTCATACACGCATTAAAGCAAATGTTTTATTTAAAAATCATAATGTTCACTGGGTTTGCTGCGTTCCAGACACTAACAGTTGATTGATTTCTAAAAAGATGAATCATTTTCTGACCATCTGAGATGAGACATGGATATAAAATGCTGTGGTGGATTTCAGTAGTATTGCAGCACTGTGAGCTGTATGTTAGCGCTGTAGAATTGTACCATTTGTTGTTTACTTTTGGCACCTGGAAACTGTGATGTGTGATGTCAGACTGAAAGTGTCATCAAAGCTTCCTGTTTCAGCTGTGTGTTTTCATTTTCACTACTCCAACAAGAAAAGGGTCAAATCAACACCAGAACAGCATCCTTTTCTTCTTATTCCTCTTCTTCTTTTATTGTCATCTTATTATTCATCCTTTCTTTCTTTATTTCTTTCTTTCTTTCTTTCTTTCTTTCTTTCTTTCTTTCTTTCTTTCTTTCTTTCTTTCTTTCTTTCTTTCTTTCTTTCTTTCTTTCTTTCTTTGTTTTATCTATCTATCTATCTATCTATCTATCTATCTATCTATCTATCTATCTATCTATCTATCTATCTATCTATCTATCTATCTATCTATCTATCTATCTATCTATCTATCTATCTATCTATCTATCTATCGATTGTTGCTCTTTCTTTCTTTCTTTCTGTCTTTCTTTCTTTCTTTCTTTTTTCCTGTTGTTTTTTATCTATCGTTTTTTCTTTCTCTCTATCATTCTTTTATCATTCTTTTTTATTTTTATTTTCAGTTTTTTTCTTTCTTACTGTCAGTCTAACGTTACTTTTGTTTTTCTTGCTATCCTTTATTTTTATTGTTTTTTCTTTCTATCATTCTTTTTCTTTTTTTCTTTGTATCATTTTTCCTCTTTTTTTTCTTTCCTGTATTTTTCTTTCTTTTATTCTTTTTTTCCTCTTTCTTTTTAGAAAGGAAAAAGTATTTTCCCTTTTTCCTCCTTACTCTTTTTCCTCTTCTTTTTTCTTTCTTTGTCATCTTTATCTTCTTATATTTATCTTCATCTTAAGCTTCTTTCTCTTTTTATCCTTTTTTTCTTCTCAGCCTTCATTTTCGTTTTTTCTTCTTTTTTTTAAATGATCATGATCAGAAAATCTAGATTTTACTAGTCTCAAATCCTTTAATCTTTGCGTACAAACACATTTTCTATGTGTTTTACTGGGCCACACCAAACCAAAGCCTGCACCAAGATATCAGCTCTTGAAATGGAAACAACACAACAGAGGGCACATTTATGCAGACAGCAGTAGTCTAAATATTTACCTTATTCTGAAATAAATCTATATTACGATTTACATGAGTTTCTTGTAGAGTATAATATAGTGCATACATTGATTACATATGCCATTACATCCCAAAGCAATGCTCTAAACTTATTACTGAAATTAGGAATTTTAATAAAAAATAGATGCTTCGATTTATGGCTGGGCCAATAAATGATATTATATTGAACGGCAATAAAATTTATGTCAATAACAATGATAAGCTCTGGACTTTTGATCTAAGAGCCAATCACACAACAGACATGTGCAACAATGGGAATTTTAAAGTGTTTATATTAGTGATGTACCAAATTTTCGGCCACTAAAAATTTATTGGTTGAAAATATGTTATGCCATTAAATGGACCCTCTAACTTTTGTGGCTTCAGTCATTGTTGGCATACTCTTTTAAATCTGGAAGCATTACCAACTGATATCGAAATATATATTGTTATCATTTAATATAGAGAATAATTATTGAGATTGCATTTTTGCCATATGGCCCAGCCCTACATCGATTAAATGTTTTTAAACTTAGTATAGTAAAACACAACAAAAAGATTGATATTTGATTAAAGCATTTCACTATATTTAAGCTGAATAATTAATGTTATGATAATTATAGCTGAATGTAAGAATCAGGAGGTGGTGACGGTCAAAAATAGGAAAAGTCAGAGTATTGAAGTTATTATATTGATTTTATTGTTTTATTATTGGGCGAGGCAGTGGCGCAGTAGGTAGTGCTGTTGCCTCACAGCAAAAACAATGGGTCGCTGGTTCGAACCTCGGCTCAGTTGGCGTTTCTGTGTGGAGTTTGCATGTTCTCCCTGCCTTCGCGTGGGTTTCCGCGTGGGAATGAATGTTATATTATTTTTGAAGTTATTTATTCTAGAAACAACTTGATATAATTTGTGTTATTATTCAAAAATGTTTCAGGAAAGATTTCTGTTTTTGAAAAACGGTAGAAGATCTATTTTGGAGACCAGCAATTCTAGAAATCCCTCATATGTTAACATCTTCAAGAATGTGTTTTAGGGTTACAGGATCCTTCTAGGCTGCTTTAGCGTGATTTCTACTTTCTCCTCTCAGATGCCTTCACAAGTGTACTTTGTTTTCCTGTGAGCTCCGTCTTGAGCTGACAAGCCTCTAGTCTCTTCGCCAGCATTCTGTGCTTGTTGTGACAGCTTTTTTTTTTCTCCCCGCTCGCCGCTTGCTGCTATTTTTGTTCCCTGCTGCTGCTCAGCCAGATATGCTGCTAATTTGTGTCTGTTTGCTATTGTTTCTTACAACTCCTCTGCTTTCTGTCTAACAAGGTGTCTGTGTTTTAAATGCAGCAACCCAACATCAAGCAGAAGCTTATGGCATTGGTGAAATGGTTCAAAGTTTCTGATGAGGTAATAATGCTGTCTATGAATCAAGCTGTTTTGGTGGATGTATTTTCCTGTCCTTCTTGTGAATTTGTTTTCTCAACAGGTTGTTTTTAATGGTTGCATTTTGTTACTTAGAGTGGGTAATATTCTAATAAACAAAATATTAATAGATATTAATATTATTATTAGATAAGGTAATTATAAATCTAAACAAATAAATGTTTTTTTTAATATTATTATTTGATTAAACAGTTATCAAAAGTAAACCATATAAATAAAATCATTTTAATTAGTTGAAATGTAATTGCTTTATTTGTTTTTGTTAAATTTTAATTTATTTCAGCTAGCTGTGAATTAAAATATATATATTTTTTGTTTTCATATAATATTATCTAAAATGGTGTGTAACTGGTAATTTGTAAAGCTAAAACTTTTAAAACCTTAACATGAATCAATCACGCGTTATTCTACTTTAAATATTAAAAAAAAAAATTTAAAAAACAATTTTTCAAACTCTGTTAATCCATGAATGTGTCTATAAATGTAAATGTATCTATAAATGTATGCAATATATGAAGAATATGCAATGGCTTAAATTTTTATTTCAGCTTAAAAATATTTCTTATTCTTTTTTAATAATAAAATCGTAAAATTAACAATAAAAATATATCCCATCCATTCATGCATCCATCCTAAAAGAAGTTGTAAACAAAAGAAATATAACAAAAACACAAGAAAATATTTCAAACTTTAACTACAATTAAAATAAAAACATAATATATGCAGAAATGCAATATTAACAAAAGCTACAGTAATTACTGTAAATAAAAATAACACTGATGTTAATTGATTACAAAGACAAATATATTTATATATAAATATAAAAATAAGTGAATACGTTAGCTTGCATAGGTAAGCTAATATGAAATCTAAATACATTTTTTTAAATAAATTATTATTTAATTAAACTGTTATCAAAAGCAAATCATATTAATCAAGTCTTTTTATTTAGTTGAAATGAAATGGTTTCACTTTTTTTATTTAACAATTATTTCAGCTAGCTGCGAACTAAATATTTCTTTGTTTTCATATAATTGTAAATCAGAAATATGTTCGAGCAGAAACAAAATAATTTAAGAATTTAAGCCATTGCATGGTCTTCATTCATTGCATATATTTATAGATACATTTACAGTAATAGTAGGAGTGTCAAAATTAATTGTTTCTTTGGTGCATCGGGATGCGGACGCGGAAAGTTCAGTATTGGTTCAGTAATAATCATAACCGTTTATTGTGTACTGACGTCATATGTGCTATGTCGCTGTAGCTTACTATGGCGAGGGAGGCGAGAGCGAGTATTTACAATGCTCCAACTACTTAAAAACGCAGAAACTGTGCACAATTTCACTGCGTGTGTTTGCTGGACAGTCTTACACTGACACTTTCAGCAGAAGCCCCTATTTCACTGCGTTTGAGAGAATGAAAGTCTCTCTTGCTGCAGCCCATTTGACCTGCTGGTGTCACTTTTCCTCTACTCTCAGCAGTTACAGCGATACTTCTGAATACAGACACAAGCACATGTCTACAGAGTTTTCTCCACCGTGTCTATCATAGATCAGCTTTGACCGCCACTGTCGTTTATTAGCGTCACACATCTGTAAAGAGCGCCAGTGCCAATCGCAGCCCTTTCTGTTGAGCACTTGACCAAGACGAGGCAGAGAGAGCGAGCAGTATATTTATATTTGTTTAATTACTATAAATGCTCATGTTGTTTAAAGGTGCAGTTTATATATCTGAATGTTTGTATTAAAGGACGAAATTGTATTACAAATAGTATATAAATATATTTATACATTTTAATACAAGAATTATTGTGCTGTGAAGAAAATATAAAACTGTGTATGGAAAGCATCGTCAATGCACCGTGATGCACCGTGATGCACCGTGATATCGAATTGAACCGAATCGATGGCATGATACATATCGTCACCTTGGAATTATAAGGTTCTATCTGCATTTTGAATGATTTTGAGAATATGAGCTCTAAAGTTTTTGCATGCCATAGCAAACAGTATGTGTGTTACATTAGTTTTTTAAGTAAAAGTCTTAAAATGTAAACTACTTATGAAAAAAAACATCCCATAATGTAAATAAGTTGTCATTTAATAAGAATGTTAATATCTCAATTTTGACAAAAATATCAGATAGAACCTTATAATTCTAAGGTGATAATTTATAGATTTATTGATCCATCAATCCACTTTAAATTCATATTAAAATAGTAATCCAATTATGACCAAAACATAATGAAATTATCCAAACTTTAACAATTAAAATAGAAACATAGGATGTAAAAAAATGCAAGATTAACAAAAGCTACAAGGATTACTTAAATGAAAATAACACTGGTGTTATTTGATAATATAAAAATCGGTGAATAGATATGTATAAACAGATAGAATAAAAATAGATGAGCATGCACTGAAAATCTCTAATATTGTATGCTAGAAAATGTTATCAACTTACACATCATTTACCTCATTTATTATTTGAGAAATACTGTTATGCATGCAGGTGGGCTTCGGTTTGGATCATGTGTCCCAAGAGCAGATCCGGGATGTGGAAGAGGACCTGGATGAGCTCTATGACAGTCTTGAGATGTACAATCCCAGTGACAGCGGGCCAGACCCAGAGGAGACGGACAGCATTATCAGCACCCCCAAACCCAAACTCCCGTACAGCACTCTTACACCACACACTTTCACATATCCATTCAGTTCCTTCACTATGCATTAAACTGATTTGATTATGTAATGGAGCAGGCAGCAGGCAGGTAAATGTACTGTTGTTGTTTGCAAATGATTCTTGCAAATATTGTTTGTAGTAAGACACATGAACAAGCTGTGTTTTTCACTCTCAAATGAAGGAATAAATCCTAACAACACTTTGCTTTTTATTTAGCCATATACTGAGTGGGCGAACTGCCTACATATCAGATTTCTTATTCTGACCCTTTTCTCTCTGTGTGTGTGTGTGTTTTTGTGTGTGTGTGTTTGTGTGTGTGTGTGTGTGTTTTAGGCCATTTTTTGAAGGCATGTCTCAATCCAGCTCTCAGACGGAGTTTGGTAGCTTGAATAGCAGATGTGGTCACAGCAAAGACAAGCTGAGTCCTGTGAGTGTCATTCAGACTTTACTTCTCCACTGCAATTTAGCTTTCTGTGCTTGACTTTTAACTGTTGTTCTTGGAGAATTGGACTTTTAAGCCAGCTCTTTTCACAGTTAATTTAAACCCACTGCCTATGTGCACATTAAAGTCCATGTCAAATCAAAATGTACTTTGTTTACTTCGCTAGCGCACATTGTTATTCGTTTGGTGAACAATTAATCTGTGCAAGTTAATCCACTGAATTTGTTTGTGTTTTGTAAATCTTCAATCAAGTGCGGACTGTTTGCTTCCACATTTGTAGTATTTTTTTCCTTCTCTGCATTGTCTTGTTTTCATCTTGTTTATATATTATACTATGTTTATATTTTATTTATCTATTCTGACTAACTGTGTGTGTGTGTATATATATTTGAAGTCAGAATTATTAGACACCCTGAATTATTAGACCCCCTGTTAATTTTTCCCCAATTTCTGTTTAACAGAGAGCATATTTTCTCAACACATTTCTAAACATAATAGTTTTAATAACTCATTTCTAATAACTAATTTATTTTATCTTTGCCATGATGACAGTAAATAATATTTTACTAAATATTTTTAAAGACACTTCTTTACAGCATAAAGTGACATCTAAAGGCTTAACTAGGGTAATATATATATATATATATATATATATATATATATATATATATATATATATATATATGGTATAATTTGATAAATATTATATAAATTATTGTATTTATTGTATTGTAGCTTTGGTGGTCTTAAATTTTAAGTAAATTGTTATTAAAAAGGTCTTTAACTTGTTAAACTGTGTAGACACCTGGCATAAAGCAAATTTGTCTGTGCGTCAGTTACATTACTGTTTTTTTTTTTTTACTTTAAATTCATGGCCTCTAAAAGTGTGGGCTTTTATGTATTTGTAAAAGAATACAACTGCTAAAATATATAATCTAATACAGCTGCTAACAGGAAATTAATTGAACTTTATCTTTTACTTGTGCTTACTGTAATTTTTGAGATATAAATCATATTTTTTCTTGTTATCATCTGAAACGTTGTGAGATTTCTATTCCAGGGTCACTTATTTAACGCAAAATAATGTTTTTCGGGCAAAACTATCAATATTTCATCAGTCTATCTGTATTTTGGTGATTTACTTTTTTTCTTTCTCTCTTCCCATCCCTTCTTTCTGTTGCAGAGGGCTGAACACACTGTGGTTGGTAAAATTCAGCGTTCCCCCAGTGCACATCTGGAAGATGCGTTCTCAGACGTGGACACACTGGTGAGACTGGACATTTTACTTTAACTCTAATCAATTAATGAATGAATCTAACCTCTCTAATTCCATATGTAGTGAAACCTCGTGTTCTCATCTTCTGAGCAGAGGAAACAAACACATATCATTTAGGGGTAGGAATCTTTAGGCACCTCATGATTTGATTAAATTACGATTCAGAGGGCTAGAATGTGATTATAAATTGATTATCAATCATTTGTTTTGATACAGATTTTAGTTTTTCTTACAATATGACTATTATAGCAATGTATCTGTAGTGAACCTACAATTAATTCCAAGATCTTGTATTAATAAAACAAATGGAAGTGATTTGGTAAGTCAACAACTAGGTTACAAAAAACATCAGTATATGAAAAATGGCTGGAGCAGTGTACTTGTAGCAAGTGAATACAGACTTTCTGTAAGTACATTGGGTACAAAATAATAATCTTCCAGCCAGCATCCCCTTGTTGTGTACATAATGAGCAATATAATCCTTACGACTAAATAATACATAAAAAAAATCATAAAATAAAAATACATTTTGTTGTACCAGAATGCTATGGAAAATTAAACGAGCTGTTTTAATGTATTTAAATGTTTGTATTTTCTAGCAAATAGTATACCTAATCTTGTTTTTATTTGCATGTTTTGACATTTGTTTGATGTCATTATCCTTCAGGCATAAATTATTAATATTAATTAATATTGCAAGGTATTTAGATTAAGTTACTGCACTTGCGGAATCTAATAAAATGACTTATTAAAGTGTGTGTGTTGTAATCTGCAGTGAAACACATTTCACAAGAAACCTTCCCAATCCTGCACATGAACTAGTGTTTATGCGCTTAATGCATTAGGAATTCAATGAAGTGGAGGTAATTGCTGATGGGACCCCTAGCATCACTTTATCAGTGGCAGAGAGGCCCCGGACCCCACAGAGAAGTAACAGCACCAATATGCCCTCTCCCAGGTTGGTGTTTTTTTTTTTTTCATATAAGCCATATTTAAAGAGGAAATAATTCAACTTACTCTCCTCATGTCTTCACAGTCCAGCATGCATTTCTTTGTTCTGCATCTGAACAAAAAAGAGAATTTTTAAGAATTTTGAAAGCAACGTTTTCAGCAGATTTGACTTCTGTTTCATTTTTTTTCATTAATACAATGGAAGATGGCATGAATTAAAACTGTTTAGTACTGTTACAGCATGATAATATGGTTTCTAATAAGGTATTTTAGTAATGCTGCCCACTCTTAAAGGATTAATTCTCCCAAAACTGAAATTTCTGTTATTACTAACCCTCATGTTGTTCCAAATCCCTAAGACTTTGTTCACAAGCGGCCACCTCCCGCTCTCCCTTGGGAAGCCAATATGGAAGTAACTAAAACTGCATTTTTACAGCTGATAAAAACATGTTTACAGCTTGAGACAAAAGATGGCTTTGCATATAGCCATGATTAATCTTCATGACAATTGTGAGGGGGTGATTTTTTTTATAACTCATCCGCTTTGTTTTTATTAAGTTATATTAAGTCTGCATAATTAAGGGCGTGGCCACTTGAGTGACAGCTCTGGTCGTGGTCTCGTCTCCTCAGCTGATTACGGCTAATTAGCCACTGAGCTCGGCATATACATCGTATTTTTGTGTTGCTTAATGTTTCTTTACACTGTCAATTGCCTTTTAGGATTATTTCCTACAATTATCAGATGATATGGCATGTTGTGTGCACTTAATTGTGCTCACAAACCATTCACGTGGCCTCTGTTTCCCTGTTTCACTTGCCTGCAGGTGTCTGTAGCTCCGCTCACTCTCCGCCTCTTTGCCCTTATTTGGTATCCTGCCGTAGGTGCGATGATGCGTGAACAAAATAGCAACGGTCCATATATTTTACAGTCTATGTTTGTTCATCTTCAGAACACAAATTTAGATATTTTAGAAGAAATCTGAGAGCTTTCTGACTCCCCATGGACAGCAAGGGTTGTGTTGTTCAAAGGCCAGAAAAGGAACCACAAACATTCTCAAGGGTGTCATACTCAAGAGTGGTCTGGATGAAGGGTTTATTTTAAGTGTGCACTGCTGTTCATTAAAACTTTGATTTCACTTAGATGTATTTTTGATGCTCTTCATCTCGGCTGCTATAACCATTCAGCATAAGACTGAAAAAGCTATTTCTGAGTCATCCAGAATATGTGAGCCCGTAAAGGTGAAGAGTTATTCTTCCCACATTCTTTTATCTTAGTTTAGTGTGCAGAGATGACCATAGGAAGGCATTGTTTATTGACTGATGGTTCAACATCTTCTGTGTTTCCCCTAGGTTTAAAGGAAGGGGGAGAGGGGGAGTTCAGACCGACACCGACATAAGGAGTCATGGTGTTAATTTGTTTCTTTTAATGACAGCAGTAAAAAAAACACAATTATTTGAACTGTACAAGCGAAAATTAACATTTATTTTTATATCCTTTTTTATCCACAAAGTGTGCAGCTTTTGTCACTGCAGTGGATCTTGGGCTTAATTACTTACTAAATAAAGTATACTTTTATACTTAACCTTTACTTAAGTATACTTCTTTTTCCTAAGGGTGTATTCACTGACTTAACAAGATCAGTCTTGTACAGCCAGGGGAGTATTGTGGCTCTGACAGCCAAGTTGGGTCAAAGTTAGGGATGTTCCTATCAGGATTTTTGCAGCTGATATTGAGTACTGATTCCACGTCATGGTGATCGGCTGATACTGAGCACTGATTCTAATGCTAAAAGCTTTATAATGTAATGAGCACATTTTCCTCTAAGTATAAACCTTTAGAGAAGATCTTGTCTTACCTTAGAGAATAAATGAAGGTAATACATATAATTCCCAAAACACGTCTCTTATAACCAGGTATGAATGTGTCATGACTCATGGCCAGAAGCAGCTGCTTTACAGAAAATATTGAATCCATTCTTTTTATTCTGGCTTAGTACCTTATTTATTAGGGCTTGCCACAGCGGAATGAAGCGCCACAGAAAATAATATCACACAGATGACAAAAACTTCTAATGAAAAATACAATGCAATTTTGAAATTTAGAAAAAACTGCAAATGATGAAAGAAGAATTAAACATGACTCAATCACAGGATGCAGGGTGGTATGGCTACAGCCGGTTACTCACTGAAGCTAAGCAGGACTGAGCTTGGTCAGTACCTGGATGGGGGACCACATGAGAAAAACTAGGTTGCTGTTGGAAGTGGTGTTAGTGAGGCCAACAGGGGGTGCTCAACCTGTGGTCTGCATGAGTTCTAATGCCCCAATAAAAGTGAAGGGGACACTACACTGTCAGTGGGCGCCATCTTTCGGATGAGACGTTAAACTGAGGTCCTGACCCTTTGTAGTCATTAAAAATCCCATGGCACTTTTCGTGAAAGAGCAGGGGTGTAACCCCGGTGTCCTGGCCAAAGTCCCTCTATCGGCCCTTACGATCATGACCTCCCAATCATCCCCATCCACCGAATTGGCTCTATCATCGTCTCTCCACTCCACCAATAGCTGGTGTGTGTCCTGTGGCAGCCGTCGCATCATCCAAGTGGATGCTGCACACTGGTGGTGGTGTGGAGAGACGCCCCTCATAATTGTGAAGCGCTTTGGGTGTATGGCCATACACAAATGCGCTTTATAAATACACATTACTATACAATCAAGAAGTTTGGAGTGTATGTTTGATGCATAAGAATTAAAATGCACACCTATAAATCTAATACTTCTTTACTAAAGGGAAAGTGTTCTATAAACTACTGTGTACAGTTATGAGTGTTTTACAAGAATTTATTTAAATATTTGTTTTAAAAATAAAGTTTTATTTATCTAATAATTCCAGCCAGCTTTTAGTGAACTTGCAATATTGTCAAAACAGAACTTTCAGTTGTTGTATTTGTTAAGTCCTAAATACATGCAGGACCATTCAAATATTTTGCTGGTCTCCAACTAATGACAGCAGATCACTCAGAGGGATTTGCACTCGTGACATCTTTACTGCTTTATACATTTAACTAAAGGAATGTAATGCTTAGACCTTACTGTGCCTCTCGCGATCTGTTGTCTTGCTCATTCACTCTCATCGCCATGATTTCCGAGTATTTTAACTCATTTTGGGGGATCACAGGGCCGGTATAAATTTGCAGGAGACTCACAGAGCTTCCGGGAGAGGTCATTTTGGATGAGACGTTAGATGGAGGAGAACGTGTCACAGCAGCTCAAAACACTGGAGATACAATGGCTGCACTTGCAACAAAGATTGCATCACTCATCCAGGTCGCACCAATAAACTAAACAGCGACCGAGGGGTCGCTGGTCGCTGAGGGGTTACGCTCCCACACTTATCTTTGTTTTGGCTGCAGTAGGCTATGCATAATATATGGAAGTGCACATGTGTCTTCGGTCCTGTCAGATGTGGCGCGTAGTCTCATTCCTATATAGCAGAGAGTGGTTGTGTAGAACTCTACTCTGCGCGATTCAGAGAGCAGAAATATGTAATCGCGTGACCATGGAGAGACAGAAATCACATGTCATTCTGGCATATATGTGCATGTATAGGTTTCTGGCATATAGGTGGACATATAGGTTTCTGGCATATAGGTGGACATATAGGTTTCTGGCATATAGGTGGACCTATAGGTTTCTGGCATATAGGTGGACCTATAGATTTCTGGCATATACGTGGACATATAGGTTTCTGGCAAATATGTAGACATGTAGGTTTCTGGCATATATGTAGACATATAGGTTTCTGGCATATATGTTGACATGTAGGTTTCTGGCATATATGTGGACATGTAGGTTTCTGGCATATATGTTGACATGTAGGTTTCTGGCATATATGTGGACATATAGGTTTCTGACGTATATGTGGACATATAGGTTTCTGGCATATATGTGGACATATAGGTTTCTGGCATGTATGTAGACATATAGGTTTCTGGCATGTATGTAGACATATAGGTTTCTGACATATAGGTGGACATATAGGTTTCTGGCATATATGTAGACAGGTTTCTGGCATATAGGTGGACATAGGTTTCTGGCATATAGGTGGACAGGTTTCTGACAGATAGGTGGACATATAGGTTTCTGACATATAGGTGGACATATAGGTTTCTGACATATACAGTAGGTGGACATACAGGTTTTTGGCATATAGGTGGACATATAGGTTTCTGACATATAGGTGGACATATAGGTTTCTGACATATAGGTGGACATATAGGTTTCTGACATATAGGTGGACATATAGGTTTCTGGCATGTATGTGAATGTATATGTTTTTTGGCATAAATGGGACATATGTTTCTGGAATATATGGGACATATATGTTTCCTACATATTTGTTTCTGAAATATATGGCACATATGTTTCTGACATATATGTGGACATATTGGTTTCTGGTATATATATGGATATATAGGTTTCTGGCATATATGGGACATACAGTATATGTTTCTGGCATATATGTGGACATATAGGTTTCTGGCATGAATGAGACATACTTTTCTGACAAATATGGGACATACAGTATATGCAGTATATACAGCGCACTATTACATGCTCATAAAAAGAAATGCTGCATGTATTCTCCTGAGCACATATTGAGATCAAATTGGCTATATAGCAAATAAGTAAACACAGCTGTGTAATTTTTCTCCCCAGGCTTGATGGCAGTCATACCCCCAAACAGAGACGAGGGACTCCTATGAAGGAGAGACAGCTGTCCAAACCGCTCAGCGAACGCACCAATAGTTCAGACAGCGAGAGATCACCCGAGCTCAGCCTCACCCCTCAGGTAAATCACAAAAACAAACACACACACACACAACTAGCACTTAGCCAGCAACAGCTGCCTCACTCTTCTTAAGATGCTCTGACTGAAGCTCAGCAGAATCGATAAAGCCCCAAGGGACATTTTTGCTCAGGAAATTGTGTTTGTGTTTGTGTGAGAGGGCAAAAGCAGAGAATATGGTGATTCATTTGGGCCACGCATGAGGATTAGTGAGCGGGAGGAGTGAGCGTGTTGGTAGAGAAAAGAGAGAGAGAGAAAGTGGGCGATAATTCTCTTTATGTAACTCTGCATACGAGGTCTGGCATGATTCAACACCTGGCTCATATTGCTGTTTACTTTTGTACAGAGGTGTCAAAATATACTCAAGGGTCATCATGACGATGAAGGGTTGTTGGTGTGAACTGCAGTTCATTAAAAATGAGATTTCGCTTGGATGTATTTTTGATGATCTTCATTTCTGTGTTAAAACCGTTCAGTGTGTGAGACTGAAATAGCCTTTTCTGAGTCATCCAGAAAATGGGAGCCCTTAAAGGTGAAGGTTGTTTTCTATTCCCACATTCTCTTAGCCTAGTTTAGTGTGCAGAGATGACCATAAGTAGATTAATAATAATAATGATAATATTAATAATTATAATAATAATGATAATAATACAGAATTTAAAAGAATAATCTTTTATATGCTTATTTATTACACCATAAAACACAGTTGAATCAGGAGGTCTTTATTGACCATATTTGGATCAGTTCTGATATTAATGAGTTTGGCAGTTTGTATGTAAAGCGTAAAAAGCTATTTATTAAAATATTTGATACTATTTAAAACAAAAATAGATTTGTTTATTCATTCATTCGTTTTCTTTTTGGCTTAGACCCTTTATTAATTGCCACAGCGACCTATCCAGCGCCTGTGCTACCCACTACGCCACCGTGCTGCAAAAATTTGTTTATATATACATAGTAATGTACTCCTATTCTGTAAAGCTGCCTTTTTTTAATCAGCTATTCCTGTCTTTAATATTGCATGACCTTTTTAGTCTTGAGAAAATTGTTTTAAAGAATCTGACACCTATTTTTGACCACCTCTGCCTCCTTAATTTTACATTAATTATCATGAAATATTTCAGTCTAATTTTCATCTAAAAATTTGTTTGTGTCTGTTTTTACCCTATGAAATAAATAACCGTTTTCTTGAAACACATTTTTTTTCTGTTTTATTTGTTGTTCATTGTAATTATACCCTTGATACATGTAATTTATTCTTCTCTTATTCATTCATTCATTCATTCATTTTCCTTCGGCTTAGTCTCTATTTCAGAGGCAATGAATCACCAACTATTCCAGCATATGTTTTACACAACAAATGCCTTTCAGCTACAAGCCAGTATTGGGGAAACACACACACACACACACACACACACACACACACACACACACACACACACACACACACACACACACACACACACACACACACACACACACACAGTTTAATTTATTCAATTCACTTATAGTGCATGTCTTTGGACTGTGGGGGAAAATAGAGCACCTATAGAAAACCCATGCAAACACGGGGAGAACATGCAAACTCCACACAGAAACGCCAACGGATCCAGTTAGGACTCGAACCAGCAATTTTTCTTGCTGTGAGGTGACTGTGCTAACCACTGAATCACATAGTCGCCCTTCTCTAATTCATTTGCACAAAATGTTTTCATACACCAACGCAGATTATTATAACATGATGAAAATACATCAAATTCTTTACAAATGCCATATGGTATGTGGTTTGAGGTTAGGATCTTGCACTAAAGTACAAATAAGTTAAACACATCAATTAGTAAAATAATTAAATGTCCCCATTACATTCAGGCATTTTGCCTTATTTTACATTAATAATGCATTTAGTTTACTGTAAATTCTAAATTTGCTCTCCAGTTTAAGGGAAATTGATGAAACGAATGCTTGAAATCGAGCCATAATTCAGGAAGGGATTATAAAATGTATAAAATCAACAAAATAATGGATGCAAATTTTCAGCAAACAAGATAACATAAACAATGCCTTAAAAGATGATCAAAAGGAGTCAGCGAATCATTATTTTTGCATGATTTTAACTATTTATTTTTAATAAAAAAAAAACACTTTCCAGTACTTACTGCATTAATTTAGTTGTAGACCTGTCCAGGTAATATCTGATATTACATTTTTTCCCCTCTTTTTATGATCCCCAGACATTTTCTGTTGTGGTCTGCACTATCTGCAGCATGTTTCTCTATTTGAATGTGTTGTGAGAATTTGCATGTGCTAACGTTCTCAAATTGATGAAGATGTTTGTTCTTTCTCTGAGACAATATTTTACTTTGAGTTACAATTGTTTTAAAATGAACATAGCTGTTGTCACACTTCTGTAAAGGTCAAATTAGTAGCATTGCCACGTTGTTACACCCCCCACCCCTAACTCCCTAAATTATATCTGCAGACTGCACCTTCAAGTCGAATGCCTAAAATGTCAGTCTGACAGCATGAAGGTTAACAAGATGCTTCTCGTTGACTACAGATGCCGAGGAAGATAGTGTACGACCAGCTCAACCAGATTCTGCTGTCTGACAGCACCCTTCCTGACAGCCTTATCTTGGTGAACGGCAGCGACTGGCAAGGACACGTAAATACCAGTTCATTTTCACTTCCTGTGTGTCTGTCTGACAACCTTTTAAAGAACAAAACCATTCTCTTGTGTTCAGTTGAGAAATCCTCTCCTCTACTATCCATTTGAAAATGTTGTTTGTGGATATTGAGGTTTTAGGCATCCTGAAGCAGAGAAATAAGATGTTTTGTGAATATGTATGTGTCCAGTATGTGGCTGAGCTACTACAGGCCCAGAAGCTGCCGGTGGTTTGCACCTGCTCCGGATCAGAAATTCAAGCTGTTCTTTCAGCCCTGCTCACACGCATACAGAAATTGTGAGTGTAACAGTGGTGGAATCAGTCAGAATGAACACGAATGTGGAATGACATGGCTGGCTGTCAAATTGCCTATTATTCATGCTTGTCAATACGAATCGCCCTGCTGATTCACATAATTTCTGTTCCTCTTCTGTTCTCTCCCACAGCTGCAACTGTAACTCCATCATGCCCAAACCGGTGAAGGTGGTGGCGGTTGGGGGTCAGAGCTACTTGGGAGCCGTTTTGAGATTCTTCGTTTCTCAGCTCGCCAACAAGATGTCTGACTGGCTCAGCCACATAAAGTTCCTTGTGGTGCCTTTAGGTGTGTATAGAGAGAACCACTACTCTATTAACCACTATTATCAACTGCACGCACTGGCCACTTTATTAGGTACACCTGTAGATGTGATCAAGATGATCTGCTGAAGTTAAGATCAGAGTGTGGAAGAAAGTTGATTTATGTTGACTTTTATTTTTGTATTGTGACGAAGTTCCTAGAGAAATGGAATATTAGATGAGAAAAAAGTGGGAGTGGCTTGTTTTTCTACTGCCAGTTTTCTAATTGGATGTAGTCAAGAAGACATTTCAATAAGAAAGATTGGGAAATTGGTTTTAGAAGAGTTATTACAACCTAACAGACTCCTCTCCTTCTGTTTGTTGTCAAAACTGACAGTCGGAAGGGCATGGTAAAGTATGTTAGCCATGCTCAATACCTAAAAGAGACTAAAAATCTGAAAGAAATAATCAGAGAATTTAGCTAAAGAAAACAGCTAGTAAACATTACAAGTGGTAACAATTTTTTTTCTTCTTAATGACATGCACAGATGAATTGTTCGCTAGAAAACTAGCAATGTTAGTTGATAAAATCATGGCTAGTATTGATTTCACTTGTACTTTAAGTAAACCCATGTAAATGGAAAAACACTTTCTCAACAAATTGAGAAAAAATCTGCAATTTCAAAACACTCACATGCTAATTCTAACAACACATGTACATACAGAAATGAACTGCAAATAGAACAGACCACAACGCTAATGTGACTGGGGACCCCAAAAAAGTGACAAGCCTGGCTGCTTTCTCTTTAGAGTCCGTGGTTTAACTTTTTGATTGTATATTTTAGCTCTAGTGTGGCACAGTGGCTCAGTGGTTAGCAATGTTGCCTCACAGCAAGAAGGTTGCTGGTTCGAGTCTCTGCTGGGTCAGTTTGCATTTGTGTGTGGAGTTTGCATGTTCTACCCCATGTTCGCGGGAGTTTCTTCCGGGTGCTCCGGTTTCCCCCACAGTCGTAGGTTAGAGAACAGGAATGTCAAACTTCTGTTGGTATTTACAAGGATCTGTACGATCAGAACGTATGAAATAACAAAACAAAATAACAAAAAATACACACATCTCAGATCTGACAACATAGCTGATTCTAAACTGGGCTTGTCACTTTTTAGGGTCCCCCTACAGTTTTTGTTGTGTTCTGCATGATTTGCAGCATGTTTTTGTATTTGCATGTGTTTGCATTGTCAAACTGATGAAGATGTTCTTCTTAATTTGTTAGTGTTTTTCTATTTGTTTGTGTTCTTTTAAAGGGTGAGTTCACCTCCTTACTGAAACTATGGAGAAGAAACTGTTGAATTATTGTTGAGTTATTATTTTTGTTTTATGTGCACAAAGTATTCTCATAATACTCAGATTGAACCACTGAAGACACATGAACTGTTATAACAATGTTTTTTGGTACATTTCTGGACTTTGAATGATTCAGGAACATCTCTTTCCATGGAGGATGAAAAAGTTGTCGGATTTCATTCAAAATATGTTAACTTGTGTTCAGAAGATGAAAGGAGGTATGAGGGGATTGGAATGACATGATGGGGAATTGAGAGAATGTTTCGTTTTTAGTGGACTAAATGCAGTGCATTTGAGCTCTCTCTGCAACCGTGCAGATGGGATGGTCTGAGTATTAAAGAAACTGCTGATCTACTTGGATTTTGACACACAATTATCCCTAGGGTTAGTAGAGAATGGTCCTAAAAAGAGAACATTTTCAGTAAATGCCACTTAAGTGGGTGAAAATGGTTTGTTGATGTCAGAGGAGACTGGTTCAAGCTGTTAGAAAGACAACAGTCACTCAAATAACCACTTGTTCAACTAAGGTCTGCAGAAAGCATCTATTACTCACAACACATCAAACCTTAAAGCAGATGAGCTACAGCAACAGAAGAATAGCAGCAACAACAACGACAAATGAGACTACAACTCCAACAGCCTCAAGAAACTAAATAATAGAAGTCTGGAGAATGTTGTCTGGTCTGAGTCTCAATTTCTGCTGCAACATTTAAATGGTGGCGTCAAAATCTGGCACCGATTCATCTTGCGTTTATCAACAGTTGCGGTGGCTGGTGTGTAATGATGTGAAGGAGATTTTCTTGGCATACTTTTCCCTTCAGTACAAACTGAGCATGGATTAAACACTACAGCCTACCTGATTGTTGATCACTTTGACAACAGTGGACCCATCTTGTTCTGGGTACACCAAGAAGTATAACACTATGTCAGAATGCTCAATCATCTCAAACTAGTTTCTTGAACATAACAGTAAGTTCACTAAACTAAAATGGCTCCACGGTCATGAGATCTCAATCCAATAGAGCTCCTTTGAGATTTGCTGGAATGACAAACTGACATCATGGATGTGCAGCTGACAAATGTGTTCATATCAATATGCACCAAAAATGTCTGAGGAAATTTGTTGTATCCATGTCACAACAGATTAAGGCAGTTCTAATGGCAAAATGGGTAAATAAAACAGTTCTAGAAAAATGTATCTAATAAAGTGACCAGTAAGCTCACAAAAATAAAGCTAAGTCTAAAAACGTAATAACAAGAGTGTAAAAACAGAAATGCAGCCTGTACCTTGTGATCATCTCCACAGGCTCTCACCCTGTGGCCAAACACCTGGGTTCTCTGGACAATCGCTACAGTTGTTCCTTTCTGGACAGCTCATGGAGAGAATTTTTCAGCCGCACAGAGCCACCTCAGACTGGTAAGTGATTCTTCTTCATAGCACTGTGGATATGAGCATTTATTGGACTGTAGGATTTGTTCTTGTATCTCTTCAGATTCTTTCTCTGCTGACATTGTGGATGTGGCAGGACGAATAATACAGTACATCAATGGATCTGTGGTTACCCATCAGCTCCCCATTGCAGAGGCCATGCTGACCTGCAAAAATAAGACGTGAGGGAGATGATTTTGATTGAACTTATCATTTATTATATCTTTAAATCACGCACACACACACACACACACACACACACACACACACATAAATATTTATATATATTTGTTTTTCTTTCTAGGCAAGATGAAGATTCCTGCCAAAATTTTGTTCCATTTGTGGGTGTGAGTACATTTATTTATTTATTCATTTATTTTTGGGTTTTTAAAATATATTAGTGCTGTAACACACCATGGCTATTTGATAAAAAAAAAAACTAGTAAAATATTATTACTATTAAAATATTTAGTTTTTGTTGATTTAAAGCATGAAATGTCACTATTTTATTGTCAAAAAATGTTCTGCTTAACATTTTTGTGGAAACTGTAGCCTGAATTCCATTACAATTTGCACAAAACTTTTGCAATATGTCATTAAAACTACTGTGAAATTATAATGGTTTTATTGATTAAATATGAGTCTAATGCTTATTTTTTCCCACTAGCGATAAATGATTTATGTGTTGGTAGGTTTACATATATCGCAGCCATTTTTTTAAAGGAGACATATTTGTAGGCATCAAGAAAGGCACTTATACTTGGGAAATATTGGTGTTTCTGAGAGAAAAAAATTTCATTGCAGTTTTGCTAAATATTCATTTTTAAATTGCCTGAAAAAGCACCTCACTTCATATCAGCATCCTACTGTAACTGCATGCTTTCCAAATGAAAAAAAGTAAAACCTCACTGACCTCATAATGTAAACAACCAGCCAAACTTTTATCTAAACACATTTCATAAATGTATTTTAATTTTAAACACTGAGTTTATAGTTCCTTTTTTTGTAACAGGTGGTTAAGGTGGGATTGGTGGAACCCAACCCAGGATCTTTAGGTTTGTCATGTTGTTTTTATTTTGTATTTGTCCATATTCAATTCAGCAGTATATGTATGATCATTAGAGGTTTCTGAAAATATCTTTGTAGCAAACGGTTTAGTTTGATTACTTAACAAGTAACTTTTATAATGAATAGTGAATATTTGTGGCTTTGATTCACCAGTGCAGTCTATTTAAACAAAACAAAAGGTCTTTTTATAACTGAATCAAACAAACAAAAGTGAAAGATTGAGTGTTATCATATAATATTTGTTATAATAATATTGTAATATTTCGTATAATATTTGTTATACAGATATACAGTGGGTACGGAAAGTACTCAGACCCCTTAATGTTTTTCACTTTGTTATATTGCAGCCGTTTGCTAAAATTATTGACGTTCATTTTTTCCTTATGAATGTACACACAGCACCTTATATTGACAGAAATTTTTTTTGACATTTTTGCAGATTTATTAAAATGAAAAACTGCAATGTCACATTCAGACCCTTTGTTCAGTATTTAGTTAAAGCACCCTTTTGATCTAATACAGCCATGCGTCTTTTTGGGAAAGATGCAAAAAGTATTTCACATCTGGATTTTGCAGATCCTCTCCAGTTCTGTCAACTTGGATGGTAAACTTAGTTGGACAGCCATTTTAGGTCTCTCCAGAAATGCTCAATTGGGTTTACATCAGGGCTCCAGCTGGGCCATTTAAGAACAGTCACTGAGTTGTTGTGAAGCCACTCCTTCAGTATTTTAGCTTTTGTTTAGGGTCACTGTCTTGCTAGAAGGTAAACCTTCTACCCAGTCTGAGGTCCTGAGAACTCTGGAGAGGATGTTTTTTGTCCAGGATATCCTTGTACTTGGCTCCATTCATCTGTCCTTTAATTGCAACCAGTCATTCTCTCCTTGCAGCTGAAAAACACCCCCACAGCATGATGTTGCCACCACCATGCTTCACTCTTGGGACAGGTGATGAGCAGTGCCTGGTTTTCTCCACACATATTGCTTAGAATTAAGGCCAGAAAGTTCTATCTTGGTCTCATCAGACCAGAGAATCTTATTTCTCACCATCTTTAGGTCCTTTAGGTGTTTTTTTTTTTTTTTTTTTTTTAGCAAACTCCATGTGTCGGGCCACTTTGCCTTAAAAACTTGACTGGTGGAGGACTGTAGTATAATCACAGCACAGCTGAACTCAAATGATGGTGTAGAACCATCCCAAGGAAAATCAGTTGAAATGGACAGCACCTGAGTTAAATATATGTGTCACAGCAAAGGGTCTGAATACTGAGGACCATGTGATATTTCAGTTTATCTTTTTAATAAATCAGCAAAAATGCCAACAATTCTGTGTTTTTCTGTCAATATGTGGTGCTGTGTGTACATTAATAAGGAAAAAAAAAAAAAAAAAAAATATATATATATATATATATATATATATATATATATATATATATATATATATATATAAATAACTAAACTAAATATAACTATATAACTATATATATATATATATATATATATATATATATATATATATATATATATATATATATATATATATATATATATATATATATATATATATATATATATTTATATAACTTTTTAAAAATATAATACTCGCTTTAGGTGCAGACTTCGAGGAGGGTCTGGCTTTGAGCTTGGCGGTTCCCTCAACATCTCCACCTGCTCATGGATCTCCAACTGGGATGATGAAAGATTCTGCAACGCCACCTCCGTCACCATCACTAAGCGGAGGACTGGCTGCTTTAGGGTTCGTGTTAAATGCCGCACAGAAATATGCAGCGCTCTGCTGTTTCTTACATTGCTGTTATCACTAAAAAATGCAAGGCTGCTAAAAAATGCAATCTGGTCTTACAATGTTATCTAGAAGCCCCAGCATGCCACATGGTGTGGACGCCATTGGGCTGCAGGTGGATTACTGGGTGTCTTCAGGCATGGAGAAGCGCAAAGATGGAGACCCGAGAGACAGGAGTAATAAGATCACATTGAGATGTGCATTCAGATCCTTGCAAGTTAGCAGATTATCAAGCTCCAGCTCCACTGAGACTGGCTTTAACACCATGTCCATGACTGTGGTGACCAAGGAGAAGAACAAGAAGGGTGAGAATGTCCAATAGATGCTTTACACAAAATCTCCATTTATGACCCTGGATCACAAAATCATGTCTGGGTATATTTTGACGATTTTATGAAATGTATTTTTTGAATGGCAAAAATCATTATAATATTGAGTAAAGATCATGTATATGAAGATTTGTTTTTGTTAATTTACTAACTTTAATATATGAAAAGTCTATTTCTCTGTGTTTGATTATTAAAAGCCCTTTATTTAGACAGCGTTACATTTTTCTCAGTATTTTGATTTAATTGTTTTTTTAACCCTTTCGGGCCAGATATCGTCTTTTCTTAACAAACCACACATCAATGCAGAGCTTCTTTATTCAATTTCAGATAATACATAAATATTAAATATATACTTATGATGATCCAGGGTCACTTTTGTTCTTTTGCTAAAGATAACTCTTGTGTTTTCAATCTATGCCATTTGCCCTGTGCCTTTTATTGATTTCGGTGTAGTTCTGCTATTGTTAGTACTCTTCACATTTATGTATATCCACATGTAACTCCATTTCCTCACTTGACCTTCAGTTCCAACAATATTCCTGGGGAAGAAGCCGAAAGAAAGAGACACAGAGTCGAAGAGTCAGATCATTGAAGGCATCACCAGACTCATCTGCTCTGCCAAGAATCAACAAACCAGTTTAAAAGGTACTTGTCAACAAATTCAAACTGGGTCCCACTTTATATTAGGTGACTTTAAAAGGCACCTATTGTAAAAAAAACTACTTTTCAAGCTGTTTGGACAGACATGCGTGTAGGTATAGTGTATAGACCGTCATATTGGGATGATATAAACACACTTTTTTATTTTTTTTATTTAACAACATAAAAATGGTGGAGCAATCGGATCGATTTTGAGACCGACCACAACTTGACGTAGGAGTATGGTCCCCTGCCTACCAATATTGATTGAAATGCTTGCAATACCATATCCTCAGTTTGTTGTTTCAAGTCCGCCATTTTCAGCGTGAGTCAAAGCGATGTCACCAAAGGAAAACCCTTGCTTTATTCTTGGATGTAAGGCTCATTGGGCTCAACACGAGCCTTCATCGTCTTCCTGCGAATGGCCACTAAGATTTTACATTTAGCGGCCATTTGCACTGAACACGCAGTGAATGCAACGTATCGAGATTCGGGCCACCAACAACAGCTGATCCAGCAAGTCTTTAAGCATTCTCTCTGGAAACACTTGATTGATCTCAGCTGGCAGATCAACATTCACCACATGATCACTCTCATCGGCACCATTGTTTGTAACTTCAGGTGGGTTTGCAAACGTGTACTTTTCATTGCGTCTTCCTTAAACTTCAGCCGTTTGCATTTCCCGCGGTCACAGAAGCTCCCTGTGCTCTTAACTAGGTGCGGCTGTTTGTTCCGTGCAGAAACACAGTGTTGAGAAGCCTTTATGATTAATTAACCGTAATGAATTATAGCAAGGTTAATAGTGACGGTAACGGAGTACACTTGCCAGAGTAACGTAGTTTGAACTATCGCAAATTTGATTTATGAAACCAAATCCACCATTAATAAACCTGACTTACCAAAATAAGCCTGGCTTTTTTCTCTAAGCTTGGTTTATGGAATAGCCCCCAGAGCATTAAAAAACAAACATCAATAGCTGCATCACCTTGTATTCAAACCAATTATCTCCGCATGCTTGTTAGAAACTGTCACCAATCACTTGAAACCTCACAAAATTTACAGCAATACATTAAAATTTACCACTAGGTGTAGAGACGGGTTTTGAAATGTTTCAAAGCTTCGACTGTTTCAGTGATGAAGCCTTGCTTTGCCCACCACTATTCACATGGACTTTAAACAGAAATTTTGAAAAATAAACTGTTTGGGTATTTTTTTTTAATGGTTTTCCAACATTCTTCAGAATATTTGTGTTCAACAGAAATGAGACACTCAAAAGTGTTAGGATTCATTTTTTTGCGTGAGGAAAATATTCATTTTTGGAAGAACTGTTAAACTTCCAGGAATTTGAAGGTAATCTCTGCTTGTGTTTCAGTGTCTGTAGATGGGATGGAGTGGAATGATGTGAAGTTCTTCCAGCTGGCGTCTCAGTGGCCTACTCATGTCAAGTACATCCCCGTGGGGCTGTTCGGCTACAACAAACCGCCCTCCTAGTGACTTCTTACTTGGCAGAAACATGGTTACATCTCCAGACCCTGGTTTTGTTATGGTCTTCAGATTGAATAGAGGACCAGTTTTTGCCTCGCGAGGCAGTCGTGATTACAGGATCACAGCTCGAGCCAAGTAGAAGATTTCAAAATTCTCCACAGTGGGATCTTGTTTTGGTTTTCAAAGGGCCAGAGCAGACAAAACATCCAAGGATGAGAGTATTATTTATGATTCCTTTTCTATAAGTGTTTGGTGGGATTCATGATGCAATAATAGTCCAATATTGTATTGTTATATTTATGGTACTTGATATTAGTGATTTAAAGTTTTCAGATTCATCGTGTGTCACTTTATTTGTACAAATGTAATGTATTCGTATTATTTCACCAACTGAATCTGACATCCAAAGCTTCTCAAAGACACTATGTAAAGCAAATAAAAAGCCTTTAAAATACTTTAAATATAAATAATATTTTGTTGTCTGTGTAAAAAATTCTGTTGTTCTCCTCTATAGAAATGTAGATTTGCTTATGTGATATATGTATAAGCATGTGATCATATGTGCTTAAATCAGGGTTTGTCTAAGCTGCTACGGACATTGAATCCATTCCACTGTGGTTTCAGAAGCTTGTTGTCGTTTATTTATTAATCTGCAATTACTAAAGGTGTTCACCACCTTCTCAATGCCTTCCATAACAAATAAGATTACGTGAGATGACTAATAGTGATAAAAAAATAATAAAGTTTATTTTGTACCTTCCAAGTGACCTCAGACCATGTTCAGAAATTGTTTACCATTATTGCCTTTCAAATTGTACACAACCCTAATTTGTTCGCATGATGCAGTGTATTGATCAGTATGATTGCAGTACATCTGTGCTTATTTTAATAACGTTATGTGAAAAGTCAGTATTCCTTTTGTCTCTCTAAAGCTCTTGTATTTTGACATCAGATGTGCAGAAATAATAAATATTGTAATTGCAACTGTTTTTGTTTCATGTCTCATGAGATAAAATGAATAGCAAATGTTTTCAATAGAAAAAAAATATTAGGTGTCATTGATAAGACTTAAGTAACAACTAATTGGGTGCCTTATATTCATGTGCTTTGTATTGTAATGAAAACACTCTAAAAATTCAATCTTGAAGCGGTTATTACATAGTTATATTACAATTGAAAGAACAAGCACAGCGTTTGTCTTTGTAAACAGATGCATGTTGTATTTGTTCAATCTATGACAGAGTTCTGAGACACTGGTAAATAAGCAAGGGCTTAGGTGTACAGTGTGAAACCATATATATTGAAAACTTAGGTTTAATTGAAATCTCTGGTTAAACAAAAGAAGAATTCAATTCATCTGAGGTCGGTTGCACACGTCCAGTTTAAGTTTGAACCCAGGTAAGTTCAAGTTTAGTTTGAGTCAGGCTCAACCTTTGCAATGACCCGATCTAATCCTGTATATGAAATAAGCCTGCTCCTGAGCAGTCCTGTTGCTATGACATCAACTCTCGAATGAGTTTTTGAAGAACGAGATGATTCTTGACTGTATCAAATAGTCACTTACCAAATTCAGCAAACTGAGTAACCCAAATACAAGTAACGAAGCCCAAAGTCAGGTTTTGTTATCTTGTTAAATGATGCTATATATCTAACCATCACTGAAGCAGGTTTTATTCTGGGTTAGAGATGGCAGATCCAAATTGAACCAATCAGCTGTGAGAAAAGTGCCATATATTTTTATTGCATAAAAGCCACTCGCTGTCCTCATCAGGCATCTTTTTTGCTCCAAATGAAACATTTTATAACGAGTCAAAAATGTCTTTTGCTGGTAACAATTTATGTGAATTTTAATTATTTATACGCTATTCAATATTTCTGAAATGTTAATTAATATTAATAATATATGTATATTAAAATGTACATATTAAAATAAAAAATTGCTTTAACAGTTAACATTTTAAAAGTACTGTCTAAGCTATTTGTGAACCTACATTATTTAAATCAACTGATTCATTTGCATTGATATTGTAATATTTACTTTCAGCTGTCTTCTTAAATTTCCACTGCATCAACATTAGTCTCTGGGATAAACCCTAAGTTAACAAAGAAAGCTTAAATCCAGTGTTGTGAAACCACTTAACTTGAACCTGTTTGGATTCATTTTGTTTTGTCAAACCGAAACTTACTCTGCCACTCGGAGTTTGTTCAACTTGTTTTGTGCAACAGGGTACAATGACTGACAGTAAACTAGTTCAAGTGGGAAAAGCCTTATATTTTACCCAGGGTTATTGTAATTTTAGGTTAATTAAATATTACATGCCTTAACTTGGGTTTTACATAGCTCTCTAAATACAAAGGTTCAAACTATTTTTGATATAAGCAGTTTAGGATTAATTCACAAAAAGTATGTTTCTCAAATAGTCTTCGATATTTTTCGATTTGTTTAACAGCAGCAGTATAATAGGCAGTGGTGTCAGAATGAGGAATTCTATCCTATGTTATGAGTATCATGTGCACATGTGTGAAAAATCCCACGAGGTATAAACTTTTAGATGTTTAAAGAACTTTATGGGAAACAAAGACTTTGCAACCCATGTTTCAAGACATTTGGACTAATGGTTGAATAAGTTACAGCAGTTTTAATGTTTTTGTTTTTGTTGTTTGTAATACCATGTGGCCAAACTGTGACCTAAGATTGAGATCATATAAACAGTATATAATCAAAGTTTGGTTGCATCGCATTCTGCTGAAGAGTTATGGCCATTTTTATAAAAATGTCCATGCCCAGTTTCCCATCAAAAATATGACTTGAAATTCACATAAAAAGTCTGATATTTAAACTCCAGAGAATCTTTCTACACTGCTTTGACTCCAATCTAGGGGGAAATTATAGCTTGGTCTGCCTGATCGGTTTCAGGGCAGCATGTTTAAAATAAGAAAACCCTAACAGTTACAATTGGGATTTACGTGTCTGAATCCTTCAACGTTTCCAGCCTCAAACTTTTGAGTATTAGTGTTTATAGCTGACTTTATTTATATATTAAACTTTGTATTTCAGAAGTGGGCTCCCCATAAAAGGCATCATCACATTTGTGGGTCTGTAGCCTAAAATTTTAAAAGCCACAGCCAAAAAAATAAAATAAAAATGGCATACTGTATGCTGATAAGGTAGGTTTTGACATGTTTCGTGGTTTAAGCTGGTTATGAGCTAGTTGAATCTTTGCTGGTCATGACTGCTTGTTGGTTCTTTCAGGGTCCTGACCAGCAAGGACAACTACCATGTGTCAACACTCACCTTACCAGCATAAGGTGTTATTCTTATTCTTTTATTCTAAAGTTTCTTATTCCGTGTTACAAGTACAGCTGATCTGCTCACTGTTTGGTTATGTACAGATAGAGAGAGAGAGAGAGAGAGAGAGGAGAGAGAGGAGAGAGAGAGAAAGAGAACTGCCCCTCTCCACTGCCCAATAACCCAGTTCTACCCATTCAGTCAGTGGCAGTGGGCTCTAAAGGGGGAAACACACTGACCTGTATGGAGGAGAGCACACACGCATCTTCTCAGTGATGGGCTGTACAGGAAGGAGAATCCTTTGGCTGGCCTGCTTGGTGTCTATGTTTCTTCAATATGGTAGGTATCATCTTCATTCTTGATGTAAGCCTGTTAAATATAAGAAAACATTATGTAGAACATTTACCCTGCTTGAGATAGCTATTGCTTAGAACAGTGTTTCCTAACCTTGTTCATGCAGGCACACCTACAGTGCACATTTTCAACCACTTCCTAATCAAACACACTAATATCAACTCATCAGAACATTAGAAGAGACTCCAAAACCTGAAGTTAATTGATCAGATGAGGGGGACATCCAAAATATGTACTACTCCAGGAATAGGGTTGGGAAACACTGGCTTAGAAAATAATTGAATGAGTGTCACACATTTCACCTGGGCTAACATACTGTAACACCATTAACAAGCATCTCACTGTTTTTCATAATACAATTTCTTGGAAATTGGCCTTTAGCTATGAATTCCATGAATGGCGTATAATAAAACCAAAGCACAACAATGGATTTTTGAAACAGTGTTTTATAACTAACGCTACAATAATTGAAATTGTTGTAATTTAGGTCATTTTTTTAGAAGTCGAATTGAACCCCATTGTTCTCTCTGTTGGTGTATTTGTCCTTGCCAAGGCTGTCAGCTGTAATTAAGGCTTTATAGTCACTGTGCTTTCCCGTACACGCATACAAAGGCCTGGGGGTGGCAGTGCATTGGGGGTGGGACTCATCATTACCGTAATGAGACAGCCATTGAGATGGAAGGAGAGAGAAGTCGAGAGCTACACAACAGAACTGCAAAATAAATGGCTCTGCTAGGGATTCATGATTTCCAGTTGTTTGACAAACAGGCCCAAAGTAAGCATGTGCATTAAAATGATTTCCCTACACAGATGCGGTCCGAGTGACTGTGAGGGAGTCCAGTCTGGAGGTTGTTCAGGGAGATTCTGTCACCCTGCCCTGTTCGTTTTTCACCATGATGCCCTTGTTCAGACTGAGTATTATCTGGACCCTGAGCCCCCTCTCTGACCCAAACTCTCCCATACAGGTACGTTGACAGAAATCACACACCAATATGTTTGGTTTAGTCAAAGTAACATATAGTCAAGCAGGGGCAGACTGATTTGGGCGCCTTAAGCAATTCAAAGTATCGAGCCCAAGCACTAAAAGTCATAACACCCTCTTTGTAGTTTTTTTTCTTTGTAAATTCAGGCTGTTTTTTTTGGTAAATAAATTAAGTGGAACATTTATCTTCTCAGGGCAACGCAATGGCGCAATAGGTAGTGCTGTTGCCTCACAGCAAGAAGGTCACTGGTTTGAGCCTCAGCTGGGTCAGTTGGCATTTCTGTGTAGAGTTTGCATGTTCTCCCTGCGTTCGCGTGGGTTTCCTCTGGGTGCTCAGGTTTCCCCCACAGTCCAAAGACATGTGGTACAGGTGACATGGGTAGGCTAAATTGTCCATAGTGTATGTGTGTGAATGTGTGTGCGGATGTTTCCCAGAGATGGGTTGCGGCTGGAAGGGCATCTGCTGCATAAAACTGTGCTGGATAAGTTGGCGGTTCATTCCACTGTGGAAACCCAGGATTAATGAAGGGACTAAGCCGACAAGAAAATGAATGAATGAATTAATCTTCTCGGTGTTAAATTAAATACAATAAATTCACATTTAAAAAAACAAGTTGACAAACTAACAATATACAGTTAATTGGCCATATTTGTGGTTAGATTTAATATTTGCATGTGTAGTACAGAAAGAACGTTCCACTATTCATGTTTGGAAAAGGAGTAATAACATTAAAATATGGTTATTGACAGATTTTACAGCATATGATAGAAATTAAAAAAGGGGCTAAATGATAATTATAGGATTCTTAGCATTGGTCTGGGTTCTCTTATT